CACAGACACCTACGACCTGGGGCGCGGTGAAGGCACTCAACCAACAGGCTCTTAACCTTAACCCTGGAAGTGTACACCCAGTGGTCCTGTGTTTATAACACTACTTATCACTACTTTGGCCATCAATAGTGTCACAGCAGATAAAGCTAATCAAGATTTGTAAGCTTTTGTTTCTTCACCCACATTTCCTATATGTATGTAGCTCTCCTTGCTATCCTATATTCATCTCCCAATCCAATCCAGAAATCAAGTTTAGGCAATTCTAACCTTTTCTATTATCTCCCCAGTTGTCATTATAAGAGCAGCCATAGACCTCTTCACAAGATAGAATGCCCAAGGAGCTGCACTGAATTATCTTTCTACCCTTACCATCATAGGATCATCCTCCTCCCAAGAAACACGGGAGGCTCTACACCTAAGACTTTCCCTCTTTGAATTCATTTAAAAGAAAAAGGGAGGAGATGTTGGGGAATGTTGAGGAGGAAGAGAGGGCCTCTCGCCAGGACAGATCACCTAGCTCCAGATAAGTGCAAGCCTCTCAACGGCCTTTAATATGGGGTAGAGGACGCTCTCCTGTGTTTGGTCATACCAGCTTGACAAAGCTCGCCACCTGGGAAGATGGCTGCCGCATCTGTTGAGCTGGGAGTAGTCCGCATGACACTGAGGTTCTCCTATCCAATCTGCACATCCCACGTCTGCAAGCCCACCCTATCCAGCCTCCCTGTTTACTTGCGCGTATGTAAGTGTGGTGCAGTCCCCAATAAAGTTGAGCTGGACTGACTCTCTGAATGGCTCCCGGAGTGGGGAGTCTCTGTCATGCTTACTCCCATCAGGGTGTTGCTATTCATTGCCAGCGAATGGACAGTGACATCTCTGTGAGTCTTAGTTGACTTGATGGCACCTAATGACAATCCTCAGATCCAAATAAAACTGCTTCTTACTCCTGCCTGATGAATTAGGCTACTCTGAGAATGTTTACTACAAATCAATTCATTTGAAAGGTATATTGGAAAAAACCCTGCTCATTGTGTTCAGTACAACAAAGCTTTAAAAATATTCTATAATAATAAAAGAAAAGAAATGGCTAATTTTTTTTAGGTTAAAAAAGTTTTTATAACAAGAGTCCACAATTAAGGTTGCATAGTGGAGTGTACTTGGGGCGGCGGGAGAGGTGTGGGGGGATTGTGTCCCAGGGAAGGAGTGTTTCTTTTCTTTTGAAAGAGAGGAGCGAAGGGGGGGAGCTGGGCGGGGAGAGAAGTGCAGCAATGAATGAATGGAAATCCAAAATCTCTGTAAATGGTCATTAAAATTATTTTTTTAAAAAAAAGTTTTTATATATTAATATATTCTCTTGTGTTTTTGCCTAATAGTAGAGAAGCCAAGGGCCCAATATTGTGCTAATACTTTTATTTATTTACTAACTTGGTCACAACTTTGTTTCTTCTAAACCTATCAGCATAAAGCCAGTGGCTTTCATCATTAATATTTTCAAACTATCCTTTCATATTTCTGGTTTTCACAAAAGCTGTGGTTACCAACACAGAATGATGACCTTAAACATTCTTTTGCACCCTAAATCTGGGGAAAATTGTTGCCTGCAGGCTCCTTCTGAATCAAACAATGGCTAGAAGCTAGTGAGGTCCATTTTTGCTCTTGGTGTATGCATTCTTTTAAAGAATTCAGTCTGTTCAGAGACATAGACTCCAAGAATCAGATTAGGCACTAAATTTGGGATGGATCAATGGCTATTGTAATTGATTTATAAGTTTATAATGAAACTGTCATTCCACTTGCTATACCGACCTCATGCTCTAAAGAATGTTTTCACAGGTTAAAGGAGCTTTTAATCACCAAAATTCCAAAACAAGCTTAATACTGTTCCAAGGGACCTTGTATAATTAAAAGGGGGGAGGGGGAATAAAGGACATCATTTAAAAAATTCTCTGAAGGAAAATAATAAATTCTTGTGCCATTAAACCACAGAGTTAAGACTTAGATTTTCTTTTCCTGAGTGGAAGGTTCAGCTCACCCATAAGCTTAAACTCAGGTTTTCCCCCAAGCAATTGCCAGAAGCAGATAGCTTCTCCAGGGATCACATGAACAAAGACAAAATCTTTGAGCTTTGTCTATTTCCTTTTATCATATTTACTGCTTCATTGTTATTGCAAACCTTTAAAGTTAGCTGATATCTACTAGTTATCCCAAAGGGTTTTTTACATTATAGTCAAACAAATTGGAGATGTAATAGTTTGTGCCCAAAATTATCAAGAAATCTTTACAGTAGACTTCTAGAAACAGACAAAATTAAGGAAGCAATTTTACTAACAGATTGCCAGAACACCTGCCTTGTCATCCTAAAACCACCCCGAAATAAACTGAAGGATATGAACCATTGACCAATCATGAAATCCCATATATAGTTATGGATCTAGCAATGATGCTAAACTCTCTCTTCTAGATAGCCTGCCTTTAACTCCCCTGAAGTTCTTTCAGTAATTACAAGTTTTGTGGTCTTTAGTTCCACTCTTTCATTACAAAAATAGAACCATTTTTGTGGGCCAATATAGAGCAGTCATTTTCACTCTGTGAAAATTAGCTTCAGAGTGAAAATTAGCTTCCCCAGTTGGTACTATCTATCCCTCAGTAAACTGGGTTTGTTTTATGTAAGCAGATTCCATAATGTTGCTCTATGCCAAAGCAAATTTTTTACTACGTAATTCCTGGTTCAGTGTGATTCACCATGAATCAACTTAAACTCATTTCCTTGGAAATATTAGCCCTTTATAAGTAAATTTCTAAGTATATGCATCATAATCACTACCTAAAAAAAGATAGAGGAGGTTTTAGGCTTCATTGCCTCTTCTGACTTTTCACAATGATACAAAGTTACCTTTGTCTCTCCTGGTTTTGGGGAGGGGAGGGATCTATTGTAAAGCAGTTGTTTGGAATTGATACTATATTTCCATGTAGAGGAATAGGTAGTAATGACCTACCAAAACCTAGTTAAGTACAGCAAATGTGTAGGTGGTACTTGAGACCTCAAATTCCTTTTTCATTACTAGGAAATGTTTCCATGCATGTTTTAGACATCCTGTATTGCAAAAATTCAGTCAGATGATTTTGAAAGAGCATTCTCCAGAAGAGAGCCAAGTTACAAAAGCCTCTAAAGGAAACAGGTCTTCTAGCCTCGTTTCTCCCTCCAACTTTGTGTTCTCCGTTGTGGTATGTGTTCTCTTAACTATCAATCAGGATAATACTATGTAAAATTCATAGCCTAAACAGTGATTATTGAATAACACCCAAATTTCTTAATCTGACAATACAAGGCTTCCCATCCAGTACCAACATGCCTTAGTTTTTTATCTCCATTCCTCCTCCTTACACAGACTTGCTGGACTTTATCAACATTCTGACCACAAATTCTCTTACTCCTCATCCTCTTGCAAAAATTCTTTCTTCTGCCTTTAAGAAAGCATCCCCACCACTGTGCTTGAAAATTCCAGCCAAAATATCCAATTCAGTATTACTTCTATAAAACCTTCCCCAGTATCTCTAGATATACTTATGTGGTCACTCTTCCCTTTTCACAAACACTGAATATGGTATTTATATTCAATAAATTTCTAAAGGATGCATATGCTTAAGACATCACAATCTGTTGAAGTCACAGTTAAAAAACCTAAAGATACCTATCCATCTATGTGCATGTAATAATTAATGTGAAAGAACCCTGGTGACGGTTCTTGCTTGGCTGTTTACTGAAAAGGCAGTTGGAATACACCAGCAAATAATAATTGGTATATACCTTAACATTAAAAAATACAGTCTTACTCCTACTTTCAAACACATACAATTGAAACTTATCAAACCTTAAAGAGGCATATGTACTTCACCTTAAATATTGGTAAATATTTCAACTAGAAAAGAAAAATTCCATGTCTTCCCTCTCAATAAAGTTTCAGTGCTGGGGTTTATTCATTTAATTTAAAAATAAGGGGGCGGGGGAATGTACTTAGTTTCTATAAGGTTATGCTGATATCTTTCCTCATTTCTTTGAACAACTCTGAAGGCAATGATTTTTTTTAAGTCTCCATTGTACTATAATGATGATAGAGAAAATATAGACATGGCAACAATATTTTAACACACAAGTCAACATAGCAATGTTATTTCCAGGAAGACTGGAGAGTGCACAATTCTTTTCCACTATGTTTTTGCATCTCTAATATCTTAATATATTCAAAGAAAGTTCTCCAGCTCAAAAAATGAGCTTACATAAATTACATAATTTATATGATAATCTGATGAGTTAAGCAAGGCAAGGATTATTTGTACACATTTAAGACACTGCAAAATCAGTAAAGGTACAAATAAAAGGCCGTTAGGCTATAACACTGTGGCGTTTAGTTTCTATACATATCCAAGATATACTTGTCTCGCCTTTTATTCCCTCACTAAATTGTTCTGTGGATCAACTGATGACTTCGCTAAGAAAATTAACGACAAAGATCGAATGTTATAATCATTTGATGAAAAAATTTCATCTCCCAGTCTTTTTCCAAGTAGCATTAAACTCTACAGGCAAAACCTAACACCACAGCTCAAAGCATTTTAAACATGCACTCATTCTGCGGGCGCACCCAGTCTCCAGGACTCTCAGCAGACGCGGAGGTCAGTGTCTGACTCAGAGTGGTCTCGAGAGTCCGAGGGACCCGACGGCCGCGCGAAATGCGAATGGGGCGCACAGCAAAAGTCTCCCGCCAAGCAAGAGGAGAAAAAGAAACCCAGACAGAAGAATGATGCGAAGAAGTGGGTTTTACGGTGCCAGACCCTGAATCTCAGGTCTGAACAGCGTCCACAAACATTCGCCTTCCACCCCTAGACCCAGTCTGAGGCCAGGCCTCTCCACTCCCCTGGCAACCTGGTGAACTCTGAGCGCTCCAACCCTAGGAAACAACTATCCCAAAGAACCTGTCAGGGCCCTGGGGGCGGACACCCACCTGGCCGCGCCCCAACACGGACTGAACCCAGCAGGCCAAACAGCAGCAGCAACTGGAAGCGGAGAGTCCCAGAGGACGAGCCCATGCCCGAACCCATCTCGGCAGAGTCCGCAGGTTCAACTCAACACTCCGTTGCCACCGCCTCCGCCTCTTCCATCATTTTCCTACCCTACCCGGGCCCCAGGGCTGGCCGGGAGGAGCGCGCCCAGGATCGAGCACGCGCCCGACACTGACGCAACTCGACTCTCTAGATCCGAGCTCGCTCCCGACCTCGCTACGCTGACGTAAGTAAAAAATTCACTCCCGGCGGATAATGGGACTTCAAAACTGGCAGCAAAATCCCGATTAGTCTGCCCCGCCCATTCATTCTCCATGCTCTTTGCTCTCGTGCCCGCCTACTTTTGAGGTCGAAGGAAGCGATTGGAGGAAGCAAAAGAGGAGGAACGTCCAGCCCAGAAGGGGGCATTGAGAAGCGGAAGCGATACTTCAGTCCCGCCCACCTACTCTGCCACCTCTGGTTGGTTGGCGGAGGAGAGGCGGAGCATCGAGCTGGGTTCCCAGTGGCTGTTTGGCCGCAAGGAGCCGGGTCGTGGGGAGAGGCCTGGCCTCTGAGGGCTTGGCACACGGTGCGGGCCTACGTTTGTGGTTGAGCTCTGGGTCCTCCACTGGGCCTGGGAAGATGGTGCTGGGTGGTTGCCCAGTGAGTTACTTACTTCTCTGCGGCCAGGCGGCTTTACTGCTGGGAAATCTACTTCTGCTGCACTGTGTCTCTCGGAGCCACTCGCAAAATACTACCTATGAGCCGGAGCTCACATCCTCTGGCGCTGCCCACCCGGAGGGCTCCCCTGGCGCTCCGAGCTGGGAATATGGCGACCCCCATTCTCCAGTCATCTTTTGCTCTTACCTGTAAGCTACCCAGTCGTCTAGGCGGGTGGAGACGGAGTTGGGGCCAGGAATACATGGGTGTTGTGGAAGGAGGAGGGGAAACGAACAGGCATCTTGTTTTCAGACCCCTTCCACCTGAGGACGTGATAGTCAACCCACAGGAAGTAGGACAGGTTTCTCAATCCTCTCACCTGCACAGGGGAAGCCTTATTTGTGTGCGAGTGACAGACCCTTCACGACCGCGAGGGAGAAGGGCTAGGGAAAATGACATCACATAGCATCTAGAAGAAGGGTATGAAGTTGTACCTTCCCTGTTCAGCTCTCATTAGTCAAGGGAGAAATCATGGAGTGTTCCCCTTAAGTGCTGGTACCCAGTAAGGCACAAGTGAAATAAATAACTTGTCGCTACCCAAATACGCAGACAGCAATTCCCTTACCGTTGTAAAACCAAGCCAAACATCTCTTAGCTCAGTAAGAAAAAGTATTTGATAAATGAAGAGCAAAAAGGGACACTCCCTGACGGCTAAAATTTTGCCTAATTTTATGATTCCACCACTCATCTGCCAGTGTGCTGTACTTTGGCACGTTTAATACTTTGGGCATGTTGTGAGGAGGTCCAGGCCTTACATTTTCCAGCATCATGCTTGCAAAAGTGGAGGGTTGTTGAAAAAGAAAATTATTCTCCATGAGGGACTGACACAGTGACTTGGGGGGTGGGTGGGTGAAATGGGCTTAAGCACAGCGGAGATTATGAAGATGGCCTTGAACAAGGTTTCAATCTTTTATACATAGGTTACAGTGAAATGGAATTTACTTGATAACTATGGTAACCTTGTGGATTGAGATGAGCCTGGGGAAGACATGAAGCTTAAGCACTACTGCTTGGGCTTGGCACAGGAAGCTTGCTACAAGCTCTTTTAGCAACAAGACTTGAAACAACCTAGTCCATCCTGTTGTTTTTGTTGTTACTAGGTGCCATCTAGTATACCTCATAAGGATCCAACCCTGTGCCATCCTCACCATCTCTGACACACTAGAGCCCATTGTTATAATCGCTCTATCAGTATATCTTGTTGAAGGTCTTCACCTCCTTTGCTGACCTTCCACTTTTCTAAGCGTGGCATCGTTCTCCAAGGCCAGGCATCCTAGCTACACACCCTCTAAGACATATTTGTTCATTGTTTTGGCAATCCATGGGAAACTTTGTGCTCTTCTCCAGCACCTCAACTTAAAGGCATTGATTTTTCTTCTGTCATCTCTATCCGCTATCCAATTCTCAGGTGCATAGCAAGTACTCGGAAAAGACCGTGGCTTGGATCAGGAGGCAGTTCAGCCTATTGTACTTCAGTCTAATTGACAGCCACTTCTAGACTTGACCATCATGGCTTGAGCATGACAGAGATGGTAAAATGGTACAGGATAGGACAAGGTACATATCTGTTGTGCACTGTTAATTGCTAGAACATGTAGTCGACTCAAGAGCACCTAACTAGATTTGGTGAGCAGTCTACAGAAATAAGGCCCAGAACACTTGATGAAATCTCGCTTACCTGTTTTGGATATATATATGTAAACAGCAGTTTGCAAAGATCATTTGATGCTGATGATCTTACTGGTGATTTACAGACCTGATGAATTTATAGAATGTGAAGACCCAGTGGATCATGTTGGAAATGCAACCGCATCCCAGGAACTCGGCTATGGTTGTCTCAAGGTGGGTTTTGGTTTTGTTTTAGGAGAAAATTCTTCAGTAGAGTAGCTGTACTGCTTAAATATTAGTGTAGGAACATATAAGGGGTGCTCATTGCATTGACTGTTACCTGGCCAGAGATAGTATGTGCCTTAAGTACCCAGATGCAAAGACTAACCTTTCCTTGGTTCCTTTGACCATTGACAGATTTCAAGCTAAAATGTCACCCTTGACTATCCTTCAAGGCATGTACTTTCCTCTCAGAGCAAAAGAAAGCCTATCTATTTTCTAAAACTGATAAGGATTAATATTTTTCTTATACACACATTTGGAGAAAAGATCCTTTTTCATGACTTCTTTATACCAGACAAGCAATTTGTATCATATTCTAGAGAAATAGATAGGGTCTGTCTGTAAATGTCTTTGTAGGAGACTACATCATTCCAAGAATCGCTGGATGATGGAAATAGCTAACACACTGGACTGCTAACTAAAAGTTTGGGGGTTTGAATCCAATGAGAAATGTCTCAAAAAAAGGGTGATCTGCTTTCAGTAATCAACCCTATGAAGTATAATTTTACTCTGACACATATTGCCATGAACTGGAATTGACTCAATAGAACTGATACTAGAATAAAGTTTTCTAAAAGAAGTCTTTCATAATAGTGGATTCTTGGAATGGAAGGAAGCCACTCAGTCTGATATTTAATAATATTCCTACTGTGAGTACACCCTTTGTATTTGGTCTCCCAGAATCCAGTAGAGTTCTTGTGCCTCCTGTGCCACCACAGACACATCATTAAGTTATTATCTATGCCATGCAAGTAAAAAATTGATTAGGTATTAGAAAACTATGGAAAACATTTTTGGTACATTTGAAACATTTTCAGTTAGAGAGGAGTAAACCTGACAGTAATAAAACTAAAACCAGTAATTCTTACTGTAGGCATTTGAAAAGAAATATTTTCCCCTCCATATTTCCTTTCAGGGGCAAGGTCCTTCCCTTTGGGAATGTAGCTTTCTAATAAATCTATCATTATTGTTGTAGTCTTTGTTTTGTACCATAGGTTCAGAACAGACCCAGAGCTGACCATCCAGTGGGTTTTCAGAAGCAGTTAGTCACACGAGAGGAGATTGCCCATCCTACTATTTAAAATAAATTTAAAAAACTATCCTGGTATGCTCGCTTCAGGAGCACATACATTAAAATTGGAACGATACAGAGAAGATTAGCATGGCCCCTGCACAAGGATGACACGCAAGTTCATGAAGCATTCCATATATTTTGTGTGTGTGTGTGGACCATTTGTTTTCTTTTTCATATGACAGTTTTAAGTTACTAGTTTTTAAAATCAGTGCTTTTTAAATGGAAACAACTTCACCAAAAATTTTTCACAGAATTTTAATAAGCTTAATAAGAAAAAAACCCTATCCTGGTACGTTACCAAATAAGACAGTGTATAAACCTGCCTCAACTTTATAAACCAGCCTCATCTAGATGTCCTAGAGGACTATCAATCCTCACACACCTGACACCTAGGGGAAGGAGAAGTAAGCATTTGGTGGAGCTCCCCAATTAAAACAAGCTTGGAAGCAGGAGTGGCATCCACTTCCACAATAGCTTGCCTCTGGAAACCCTATGAACCTGGAGAAAGGATGAAAGTTATAAAAGCATTTAGATCTTTCGTTCATAAGGTCGCTATGAGTCGCCTCCAACTCAACAGCACTTAACAACAACAACTTCCTTTAAGGACGCTCCAGTTCAGAGGATGGTAAAGCATTTAACTTGGTGCCAGAGAGAAAATTTACATTTATATTTTCTCTGCTGGAGTTTATATAAACCAAGGGTAAGAAACACTTCTGAAATTTTTGTTGGTATGTAAACTTAGACTGTTAATGTACTACACATATCTAAGCCAGATTCATAGGCCTCCATAAAGTCCTACATCAATGATAATCCTAAATTCCGTCCTAATTTTGTTCATTTATAATAGACCTCCAATACATACTGACTTTTTAAATATCAATTTCCAGATGTTTACTAAGATGTTCTTTTTACTGAAAATGTTATGTAAATGGTATTTAATTTAAGTTCCACTGAACCAGTAGGCAACATCATGATGGATGGAGAAGAGATTGAAACTATCTACAAAAACTTCATCTTAACTTGGATCCACAATTAACACCCTTGGTACCAACAGTCAGGAAGTGAGGAGATGCATTGCACTGGGAAAATCTGCAGTTAAGGACCTCTCCAAATAACTGAGGAGTAATGATGTCAGTTTGAGGACTAAAGTGTGTCTGATTCAGGCCATGGTCTTTCTGATCACTTGGCTATGCATCTGAGAGCTGGACAGTGAATACAGATGATGGAGGAAGAATTGATGGTTTTAAGCTGTGGTGCTGGAGAAGAGCACTGGACATCCCATGGACAACCAAAAGAATAAACAAATATGTCTTAGAGAGGGTGCTCTTTTGAGGCAAGAAAAATGAGGCCACCTCACATACTTTAGACATGTTGCTAGGAGGTGCTGTTCCTTGAAGAGGGAAATGATGCTTGGATAGGTGGAGGGTTGGTGAAAGAGAGGAAGACCCTCAACCAGTTGGGCTCTAGTGAGACAGGAAGTGTGAAGATGGCACAGGGTAGGACAGGGTTCAGATCTGTTGTCCATACGGTTACTATGGGTCATTTGACTCTACTGCACCTAAGAACAACAAATTATTTTTTTAACTCTATTGTTAAAAAAGCAGATTCATAGGCCAACTCTACTCCAATTCAATAGCACCTAGTTTGATTGGTTTTAAAGGGGGAGGGTTTCTTCAGTCTACATTTGGGATGCATTAGTTTAAAGGTCACGTCAAACATGTCACTACATCTTGGTCCTGAGCACAGCTTTACTGTGCTCAACTTTGTTGTAGTAATAACCCTGAGATGACTTTTTTTTTTTTTACTGTGTCATCCCACAGTTTGGTGGTCAGGCCTACAGTGACGTGGAACACACATCAGTCTTGTGCCACGCCCTCGATGGAATTGAGTGTGCTAGTCCCAGGACCTTCCTACGAGAGAATAAACCTTGTATAAAGTAAGTGTTCCTTTGGAATAGACGGTACAAAGATAAAGATTGAGCCACTGACACACAGTCAACAGGTTTGTCCTTTCCTACCTCGTCCCCTATCCCCCACCAGTGTTAAAGTGAACATGATTACAGCCTGTACATAAACCATTGATGGGGTAATGTGGTTACAGTAGATGAGACACTGGACTTGAGACCAAAGGTTGTGAGTTCTGAATATCTCTCCCACCTATTTAACTTTGAACTAACTAGTCTTTGAACATTCAAGAGTCTGTCAACTCTCTGACAAAATGAAGGAGCTAGAACAGATGATCTGCCTGTAAAATTCCTCTGATAGTCATAAATCCAATGAAAATAACCTTAGTATTTCAGGAGGAAAATTTTTATTATAACATGTGTGGGCTTCTCTTCCCTGAAAATCAGCTCATATAAAGGATTTCAGTGGTGCAGATGTTTAAGGGCTCAGTTACTGTCTAAAAGGTCTTTAGTTCAGGTCATCCAGAGATTGAGAAAGGCCTGGTATCTATCCTGCAAACTATGGAGCATCAACTCCAATTCAATAGCACCTAGTTTGATTGGTTTTAAAGAATTAGAGTAACTTCTGTTTGTTTCATTTGAAGGCACAGAATTTATTTATACCACCTGCTAATGGTAAGAGCCTATAGTTATGTTTAGAAAGGGAGCTCTGGTGGCCTAGTGGTAAAAAGTTGCACTGCAGTCTCAAAGGCACATGGTTCAAATCCACCAGCTGCCCTATGAGACAAGGATGCATAATTTCCTCCCATGTGATTTACTGTCTCTGAAAACCAGTGAGAGGGTGAGGTGCAGGTCAATTCAAAACAACATTAGATTAACTACAATTCAGTATCATTACAGTGAGTAAGGAAAGAAGTCCTTATGGGTGTTGTGCCCACGAAATGCCCCTCAAAGAAATCCAGAAACACGTCTGAAATTTCAAGAGCGTTTATTGTTTAATTTTCCACGCGTGAAGGCTTTTCCGCCTTCCTCAGGTGGTGAAGGGAAAAAGCCCTGAGTTTTCCCTCCCACTTGCTTTTATAGCTTTTTCTTGGGTGCCCCTGCTAGGGCAAAGAGATTGGTGGGCCAGGGTGTCAGTCATTTGGTCGGCTTTTGATGGGCTGGTTACTTTGCCTGCCTTTACTCTTTTTGTGTCACGTGGATACTAGTTAATTCCTTACTTCTTCAAGGACAGACTGGGCTTTACCTGGAGCACTCGTGTTTGCCCTAAGCCAAGAATTTTTATGGCCCGCTTCTGCCTCCAACGCTAATGGGGGTTTATAAAAAAATGGGGTTTCTGCTGCCCCTTCAATGGGGAAGTCTTAACATACATATGCTACATTACAAAACAACTTGAAAGCTATATGGACAGCGAGTATTCATCTGCAGAAAAATGCTGTTTCATTAAACTGCTTAGCCTCAAGAATGGAGTCTACATAAGGGAGTAGGAGAGACCCAGATGCCATTCCTGCCTGGGTGCCTATTATGCAAATATATTTCTTATAATTTTTTTTTAATACTGGTTTATTTACAAAGTTCGAATACATTGTTTTTCACACCAGATCTTTCCCATTTTCTTCACCACCTCCACCCATAAAATTGTGCAACCCTATGAGTAACCTGCCCCTCCTCCCCATCCTCATTCCTCTGCTTCCACCCTCCCCCACCTTGGATCCTCATACTCTTTCTATAATAATGGTCTTAAACAGTATTTGTCCTTATGGGACTGAGTTAGTTCTCAGTATAATGTTCTCCAGTCCCTCCCAAGTTAGTGATTTATAAAATCATTGCTCCTGCATGCTATGTTGTATTCCACTGTGTGAATGTCCATAATTTCTCAATCCATTCGATTGTTGTTGGACATCTTGGCTGTTTCCATGTTCTTACTATGGTGAATAATGCTGCTGTGAACATTGGTGTACAAGTCTTTGTGCCTCGGTTCTCATTTTTTCAGGGTATATTCCAAGCAATGGAATAGCTGGGTCATATGGAATTTCTATGTTCAACTTTTTGAGGAGGTGCCAAACTGCCTTCCAGAGTAGTTGTACCATTGTACAATTCCACCAACAATGTATAAGAGTTCCTATTTCGCCACATCCTCTCCAACATTTATTACTTGCTGTCCTATTTCATTGTGGTATTGATTTAAATCTCTCTTATTGCCAGTGATGGTTACTACCTTAGCAGGTACTCTTTTGGAATAAGATGCCACAGAGGGACTGCTTTTCACTTTTTCATCATTTTCATTTATATTATTTTACATCTTCCTTTTCTTTCCCTTTGTCTAGGTATACCGGACACTACTTCATAACCACTTTACTCTACTCTTTCTTCCTGGGGTGCTTTGGAGTGGATCGTTTTTGCCTGGGACACACTGGCACAGCAGTAGGAAAGCTGTTGACACTTGGAGGACTTGGGATTTGGTGGTTCGTTGACCTTATTTTGCTTATTACCGGAGGGCTGATGCCAAGTGATGGCAGCAACTGGTGTACTGTTTACTAAAAAGAATTGCTACTGTGGCCAAAGGAGGCAAGCTGAATGCTCTGTCTTCTGAATTCATCTCTATGGACTCAGACTCTGATTTGCTATCAGATGGCTTGACTATTACTTTCCCTCAGTGGCTGGGAAAGCTTCTTTGGACTTTGGATTTTCAATCCAAATTTTATTTTGCAGACTAGAAATGACATACAGTGTTGTAAAAAATCAAATTTCTCCCTTTTCTCTTGTACAAAACAGAAAAGATAGGAGCTAATTTATAAACTGCAGATGCTTTACCATGCCCCCTCTCACTGTACATTTCTATTCCTTTGATCCTTTGGAGCAAGTGGATCCAATAAGATGAATGATTTTTAGCCATTTGTCTTTTGTGACCCCAAATCTTCATGCTGAAGAGACCTGAAACCAAGCCAATGAAAATCTTCAACAGAAGGAGAAATGGCCATGGATTTTCATTCACACCAAAATTCTGACTTTACATTGCAGAAAAAAATTGCCAGCCTGGAAAGTTGTATGGATATTTTTGGTAGATAGAGAAGTTCAAAATTAAATTTGTTTTGTGGAAAACTCAGCATTTGCAATGAACCATCCTATTAATAAACCCTTTTGTATCCCTGTTATGCTTCAGAGGCAATATATGTAGTCTAGTCCAGTAACTCATTCATTCCAATTATGCTTGAAAGCCAACAGTATCAAGACATGTGTGAGGTGAGGTATTCTTAATTGAATTTTCATTTCTAAAAACTCTTATATATCATGGATTATGGAGCCCATGTTGTAGGCAGAATTAACAGAGGGGGCAAGAGGAGAAAAAGAAGTTCCTATAAGTAACTTATCTCGACAACTAGACAAAATAGGGTTAGCAGCCTCATAGACTTAGGGGGAAAAATACTTATTTAAAGGATGATGAATACTTGGCTAGAATACTGGAGCTAAGATGTCATTTATGGGGTTGTTGTTGTTGTTGTTACATGCCATTGAGTCACTTGCGACTCATAGTGACCCTGTGTACAAGAGCTCTAAATGCTGTTCTATCCTGTGCCAACCTAGCCATCTCAAACGCACTTATTCCCACCGCTCCAGTCACAGAATCAATCCATCTCATCGAAGGTCTTCCTCTCCTTCACCACCCCTCCACTCTGCCAAACATGATGTCCCTCTCCAAGGACCAGTCCCTCCTTGCAACATGCCCAAAGTATGCCAGATGAAGTGAAAAAGCAAAACTTGAGTGCATTTTCTCAGAGTAAGCATGGTACCAAAAATTGTCACTGTGTTCTGCAGCAGTCATAGAAAAGATACAGCCAAGTGTAGCATTCTAAATAACTGTGAATAAAAGGAAATATTCCAAAATGTAATTGGTTTTAAAACTTGGTTTCCATTCTGTGGCAGTCTTGAGCTAGAAGAATTCTTAAACAATAGAAGAATGTAGAAAAGTCAAATCAGGAACCTACTATTTGGGAAAATTTACAAATTCTAGAAACAAGATTAAATGGCATAAAGAAAACACTTTATTCATAATAATTGACTTAAAGAATCACAGTTAAAGTCCTTTCCCTGCATATAGTTGTATCATTCTGTAGCAGCTTTCCTAAAAGTTTCAGCTTTGTTATCCTTGACTAACTGCCTATTCTGTATTATCAAGTGGTGGCAATTACATGAAAAATTAAAACAAATTATTTGCCTTAAAAATTCTTCACTATACTGACCTTAGCCTTGCTTATAACAGCAATAACTTGTACAGATTCTTAATCTAAGCTAAACCAATCTTTTTACGTTTCTGTGAATCAGGAGACACCTAAGCCCTCTCTCTAGGAAATGCACACACGCATAAAAATTTGCATATTATTTAAGGGACCTCAGGGATGCCATATTAAAAAATATTCATTTAAAAAAAAAAAAACAACAAACCCTCACCTCTAAAGGGAGCCTGGAAAACAGAACTTTTCAAAATCTTCCCCCAAATAAGAAAACGTTACTTTAATTTCTACCTTTTCTTTTTCTTTAATCATCCTAGAGTATTTGCAAATCCTACCAAAAGTTCTTTTCCCTTAAAACAGAAAGAATTGACAACTTTGAGATGTGATGTCATTAATGTTGCTAGGAGGAAATGGTGGGTAAAAAGCTAAAACTCTGCACGTGAGTAAAGAGGTGGTTTTATCGATCAAGCTCTTCTCACAGAAAAGCTGTTGGAAACCAAAGGGTCTGTACTAAAATGGCGAATGACAACTCAAAGCCCAGTAGTAATGTTATGTGGCAATGTGCAATAGTCAGTTTCAATTCAACCTGGAAAAGATGCCATTCCTCCATGAACCAAACACAGGTCAAGTGGATACACACCTGAAAAAAACTAACTTGAGTAAAGGTATATTGTTGTTGTTGTGTACCATCAAAGTTGAAACCAACACATATCTGACCCTTCAGCAGGTTTTCAGAGGCAGTAAATCAACACAGGAGGAGACTGCTCATTTTGCCATGGAACACATGATAGATTTGAAACATGTGCCATCAGGATAGCAGCACAGCTTCTTACCACTGGGCCACCAGAGCTCCCTGAAAGGAATGTTATTAAAAATTTTATTTCCTTTCCATTTTGAATTCAGGCTATTATATTTGGATGGTAGACATATTTGTATTTTTTGTTACATGTTAATGTTGAGTTTGAAGCAATAGAGGAGTTCTAAAATACTGAAGTCCCTCTCTCCAGAATACTAGGCATGAGGCCTGTCTTTTTGTTGTTTACCTTTAAATAAAATTATCAATTCTCAGAATTCCTAGCACTACATCCATCTACTTTGCTTTGTTAGGCCTTTTAGCAGCAGGGTAGCACTGCAGCCCCAACCTAATGTTCCCTGAACACATGTTTATGTTTTAAAGCATGCATTTTTCTTTTTAAACACAGCTCCTAAAACATCTTGCCACCTTTGACATATCTTAAATACAAACCAAACCAGATAACACAACTTTGGTGTTGTTAGATAATCTCTCTTTAAAGCAAAATGCTTAATTGATTATTTCAGGTATGACTGTCAGGATCAAAGTTTGACTTCCTCGACGAACCATGATGGAAAGAGAATCACTGTCCTTCACAGCTTCAATAACATCAGTTGTGGTGGTAACAGGTTGCCCGTTGATGCTGATAATTACATCTCGGTCTCTCAACCCAGAGCTGGGAGGGGGAAAAAAGAAAAAGACTATGAAACAAAAGTTTTTCTTATCCCCAACTAGAATTTTATGTCCGTGTCTTTTGGCACTACTATTCTGCTAGCATTAGATGTATAAAGGAGGAAACCAGAGATGATAATCAGTTCCTCCTAAAATGAGAACTGTGCTAACATGTGTTGTAAAATTTCCTGGAACACATAACCAGTATTTACTTTTATAAAATTACTATCCTAATAGTGTTACGCAAATGCCTCGCTCTTTTTATACAGTGGATTTGGTTTAGAATCAGGAGTTAAGATTCTAATCTCTGTGAATGTTTGATGTTTATTAACAATAACCACAAGTCTTAAAAACAAAAGTGAACAATCCAGGTAATCCATTTCCCTCACACTTGAATCAGATTAATTTTGACAAGCCCCTCTTAGGTGCCCTGTATAGTGTACGAAACTGGTAATGATGTTGCACTGCATCACAGAAGTTCTGCCTCTGCTAAGTCAGAATCCAGTCTAAACCATCTAGGTCTAAATGTTTAGGGTCCTGGTCCTAGGCTGCTTTTCCCCAAAGTTGCCATTATATTCAGTTCTCCAATATGTTTGCTTCACATAGTGTATATTCTAGAATAAAAAAAACAGGCCTAGATGCAAAGAGTAAACATAATCATGTTGATAATTTCTCTTAAAGGAGTCGACAGACTATAAAAGAAACCATGAAGCTAAAATGACTCCAGGAGACACCAATTAAGAGAAAGGAGGCCCAAGAAAAATTATTAATGTGGCAGGAGTTTCAAGGTATATAGAGTTGATAAACAAATTGGAGAAATGGGGTTCAAAGGAAGAGAATATGAAGAGGGACCTCTGGCCCAAAACAGTGGTACCAGAGAGTCTTTCTGAACTGAGGACAGGATTCCCCATCATGTTGAAGCCCAGCCAGGCCACTCAGCCCCTCAGATCAGCCAGGCCTGAACCCTGTGATGTTACCCCGACCCTTGGGAAGACAGGCCAGGGAAGGCCCAGGTTACCGTTAGACCCATCTTAGGTCAGCGAGACATCTCCATCAATCATTGCTGCAAGGAGTTCAACAGGAAGATGAAGGACATCAAAGAAGGCGTTCCTCTCCCTACCAAAATTTTTGTGAAACCTAACAGGCCATTTGAAATCAAGTTTGAACAGCACACTGTTTCCTATTTCCTGAAGGTGGCTGCTGGAATGGAGAAGGGTCCCGGAACACAGGGAAAGAGGAGGTAGGCCTGAGAACCCTGCAGCACATATATAAGGTCACTTAAAAGCTATAGAGAACGCCTTTGTCTTGCAGGACACCTCTCTGCCCTCTGTTGTCTGCTCCGTCCTCAGCTCTGCTCTATCCGTGAGCAGTGAAGGACCTTGCTTTGGAGGAACTGACAGTTTTCCAGAAGGAGTGAGCAGGGTTACTAGCTGCTCAGGCAGTTTTGGCAGCCCTGGCAGAAGCTGCAAAGCAGTGACCCCTGCCTCCCTCTGCGCTGCTGGATTTGGAAGACGCCACTGGACAGAGTCCAACTGGGAAGGCTGGGTCAAAAGGACAGAAGGGAGGGAAGTCACAGCTAGCCTGGGTACTATCTCGCTGCCTTTAAACGTGTATTTTTACCTTAATAAATACCCTTTGTCACCTTAATACATATCAAGCCTTAATAAATATCCTTTGTCATCACCACCCCAAAAAAAGAGAGAGAATATGAAAAATACTTTGTAGAAGGAAAAGCAGGAGAAGCCCTGGGAACAAAGACAGCTCAGGAGGATGACTTGGGACAGTGTGCCCCTGGGCAATAAAAACAAACCTTAAGAGTAAGAACTATAACCCCCATATGAGGAGGTAAATACCCCCGAGGCCACACAGATGATAAGAGACTAATAACTGTCATCATAATAGCTGATCCTTTAAACACTACCTCACTATACTGCTAACTAAACAGGGCACCAAGATGAGCTACTTCAGAATCATCAGCCATTGAAAATCCTATGGCAAACATTTAAAACTAGGGTACAGAATTGACTCAAAGGCAATTAATTTGATATGTCTATCTGTGTAAGTCTGAATGTCAACCACCATTTTAAGTGCTTTGCATAATTAGGTGAGCTCCCCATAGTATCCTGATATTTTACAGAGGAAATTGTGTGGTACAGATGTAGCATAATTGTCAAGGCAAAATGGACTATCTGGACTCTTCTTTTTTACTTACTTGTTAAACCCACAGTCTACTTGAGATTAGAAACTTAACTCCCCCCCACCCCATTCAATACCAAATGCATTGTAGTGAAGGGATAAACTTCCACGATTCTGGTAGGAAGTTGACGTAACAGTAAATTATTAAAGGATTGATGTGCCCCAAGTGATTCCACAGCACATCCTACAGCAGCATTGACAGTTGTGAGATTTGATCCTGGACTTTCTGAGTTAAAACCCTATCTTGACAGTGAATCAGTCTATCTCTCAGAAATAAGCAATCGCAAAAGCAGAGTAATACAACACATGGGTTATGAGCAGGAGGTCAAGCACATCCCTACCCTGGGATTGTAACTATACATGTTAATTGATCTCACTGAGCCATGGCTGCTAACCAAATAGCAGTTGGAACTGACTGACCACTTTAAGGAAGAACGAGGAGGCAGTCAGCTTCCGTCTAGATTTGCAGTCTTGGAAATTCTACAGGTAGTTCAGATAGTTCTACTCTAGTTCTACAGGGTCACCAATGCTATAGGTCAGAATAAACTTGATGGCAGTGGATTGATATCTTAAAGCTGTTGAGTGTTGACAGGACTATGTAAATAAAATCTTTAAATACTCGTTGCTGTGGAGTTGGAACCAAGTTACAGCTAACCCTCTCAGTTTCCCAGGCTGTAAATCACCCAGGATTGCCCATCTTTCTCCCTTGGAGCCACTAGTGGATTCAGACCACCATGGTGTGGCCTTAGGGTCAGCAGTACAACTGCAGACATACTGTGCAACCAGAGCTCCTTTAAAACACTTAATAGGATGTTTGGCATATGTTGTGGTTGTTAAGTGCTGTTGAGTAGAATATGATTCATAACAACCCCATGAACAGTACTTTTTGCACCATCCTCATCTCTAGAGGAGCAGATGGTGGGTTTGAACTGCTTGTCTTTGCACTGGCAGTGCGACTCCCTACTCACTAGGCCACTAGACTATCACATGAAAATCTGGTTAAATAATGATTGATTCAGTGGACGTAAGATGAGACATGTGATTCTGATTTTCTAACACACTCCAGATGATGCTAATGCTACTGGCCTACAAATCACAGTTTGAGAAGGTCTTAAAGAACTGAAAGAAATTTCGCTGGTCTTCAACCAGAAGTTAAAAATAAGGAAGTGGGGGAGGGTAGATAAGCCTGGACAAGCCAAATTTAGTAACATGAAACCTATGACTTAGCTACTCTGAATACTTAGTACCCTAGTCCTTTCCTCCTAGAAAAAAAGAGTTGGCATAATCTAAACAAACTGTTGAGCTCTTCAAAAACATAAGCAATGAACAAGGGATACTGCAGTAGTAGAGGCCCAGGACTAGGTAAATAATTTTTATAGGACAGGCTAGCTCTTAGTAGTTGATATAAATATCTAAGATTCCTGTAAAATCAACTGGAGAACCTTGTGAGCTAGTCAAGGTTTTAGTACTCACCTCTGGTACTAAAATTTGAGTTTATGAAAAATAGTGTTTTAAAATATGTAAATATACTAATGGGCATTCTGACAGCCTAGGTAAGATGTTATGCTTCTAAGAGAAAGACACATGGTTTTAATCTACCAGCTATTCTGAAGCAGAAAGATGGGCTGTTTCCTCCCATCTGATTTACAGGCTCTAAAAACTCATGAGTCCATTCCAGCTCCACAGCACAAAAAATACTATCTTGATGAATGGTAAAGAGACTGAAATTGTTAACAATTTTAGCTTACTTGGTTCCACAAAACACTCTTGGCATCAGCTGTCAGGAAATCAAAATACAAATTGCATTAGGAAAATCTGCTGTCAGAGACTTCTCCAGAGTACTAAAGAGCAACTTTATCAGTCTAGTGACTAAGGTGTGCCTGATCCAGGTCGGTCTTCACAATTGCTACTGTGCATTGGAAAGCTGGACAATGACCAAAGATTATAGAAGACAAATACTGCTGGAGAAAAGTATTGCACATATGATGGATGGACAAGAGAACAAACAGGTCTGTCCTGTTGAGGGTGAAACCAAGCTGCTCCTTGGGGGCAAAGATTTTGAGGATCCGTCTCACATACTTTGTGCATGTTACCAGGAGGGACCAGTCCTCGGAGAAGGACATCATGCTTGGAAAGGTGGAGGGTGAACGCAGGAAAGGAAGACCCCAATTGAGATGGATTGACATAGTAACTGGAGTAATGAGGGCAGGTGTGTCAGAGACAGTGAGTTTGGCTCAGGATAGAGCAAGGTTTAGAGCTACTGTGTATAGAGTCGCTGCGAGTTGTCGACTCGAAGGAACCATAAACTACAATAATAATAGAGGTCTCCAGACCTCTAGAGTCTTGTGATTCTTAGTAAATAATTAATTAAAATTAATTATTCAAAATTAACAACTTGCTTGGAAAAGTATTTGTTGTTGCATGCTTTTGAGTCAAACTGACTCACAGCTAACCCTCTATCAGGTTTTCACAGGCAGTAATCACACAGGAGGAGACTACCCATCTTTCTCCCCTGGAGCAGCTGGTAGATTCGAACCACATGCCTTCAAGGTGGCAGGACAACTCTTTACCACTAGGCCACCAGAGCTCCCTGAAAAAGCAGAAGGTCAGCAAAGTCAGTAAGACCCTCAGCAAGATGAAATGACAGTGATTACAACAATGGGCTTAAGCCTGGCTGAGATTGTGAGGATGATGTAGGATAAGGTAAAATTGTGATCTTTTGTTCATAAGGTCATAGTCAACAGGACAACACCCAACTGCAATGACTACAAAGGTCTCGGAAATTCTTAGACATTTTTTATTTACTAATATATTCATTTTGGATTGCTCACCAATATCCCAGGGGAGTAGAGAGGAAATGAGTGGACGGAGCATCAGTGGCCTGAGCCCTCGAGCCAGGGTTGGCCGGGGGGAGGGGAGAGAGGAGAGGGAACGGAGCAGGATGCTAGGGAGGTGGGAGGACGGAGACCACAACACATAAACTGAAGTGGTGGTGAGACCAACACCAAATCTGTTAGCTGTGTCCTTCATCTGCCCTTCTGGTTAAATTCTTGTCTGTCAGCTTTAAAGCTGAACAACCAGATTAAGAGAGACTAGGGAGAGGGATTGGCCATCCACTTTGGAAAATACAGGCCTTTGAAAACTATGTACAATAGTTGGTATTGTGGTCGTGTACCATAGAGTTGGAACCGACCCATAGCTGACCCTCTGGTGGGTTTTCAGAGGTAGTTAACTGCGCAGGAGGACATTGCCCATCCTTCTCCAGCAGAACAGCTAGTGGCCTTGAACCATGTGCCTTTGGGGTTACAGTGTAGCTTCTTTCCAGTAGGCCACTAGAACTAGCACACTTAAATTAAACTAGCAGATATGGCACCAGAGGCTGAGCCCTCATGTTAAGAATCACAAAGAAGGAAGAACAGTTGTAAGCAGACACTAGTAATTAGAATGAAGAATGTGAGAGAAATGAATGTAGGAAAACTAGACATTGTTAAAGAAGAAATAGAATGCATAAATATTGACCATAAATATTGGCAAAATGAGGTGTACAGGCATGGGACATTCTGAGTCATACAATATCATATGATCTACTACACCAGAAACAAAAAGGTGAGGAAAAATGGGTGGCATTCATAAAGTTTAGATCTGGGAATTAGTACTAAAATTAATTTGAGTTTGCTATTAACTCCAATCATGAACTCTCTTTTGGGCTAGAGAAGATGGCCCCCTTCAAAAGTCTAAATCAATGCATTTCCGTGGAATTGCAGGACAAGCCACGTATGTAATTTTTAAATGTTTTAGTAACCTCATTTAAAAAAGTAAAATTTATTTTAATAGCATATATCATTTAACTCATTATGCAAAAAAGAGTCATTTCTGTATATATTTGAAAATTGCAACAAATTCTTTTCTTTTTATGTTTTTGTTATCCATTAGAACTGCACACCTGCCTTATATGCTAACACACAACAGCAATATCTTACTTGATGCAGTGATTAAAGTGAAATGCAATCAATCCTCCAAACAAGGAAGTTGTATGTAATGGAAAAAATTCTTTTAATAAGTTAAAAAATTATTTTAAAACTTCTTCAGTTTTTAAAATTGAGATTAATAACAATGAAATACAATTCAAAATTCAGTTCCTCGGTTGCACTAGCCACATTCTAAATGCTCAATATCCACATGTGCTTAGTGGCCACCCCATGAACAGCACAGATCTAAATCCCCAGACATTTACCAAGGCACCATCCAGAAAAAGCAAAAAGTCCTGCCGTTTTCTCTTACCTTTCAGCAGCTGTTCCTTGGATTACTTCATACACAAAAACCCCTGAACTCACATCAGGGAAATCTGGATCCTGCCTTTTCATTTCTTGCAGAAGGCTAAGAGAAATGAGAAGAATCTTCTTATAAGGTTAAGAAGCGCAAATAATTAATCTGCCACAGCCATAAAATCCTCTTATCTGTTCTGCTCAAGACTGACAGTAGCCAGTGAGGATTCCATTAAGCCAATGAGAGTTTTTCCTCCCTGGGTTTAATACGATTCTCTATGCAAGAGCCTAGAACCATTGTAGATTATAAAATACAGGCATAGTGAAATATTGATAAGTATAGTAAATGCTACTGCAGGCTGATGCAAATGCATTCTCTGTGGCAAGTATATATATATATAGTCTAAACACATTATCTGTCCTATTAAGGCTATCCAAACACAGCTTCTGCTTCTAAGAAAACAACCCAGACCTATTCAGATAGATGCTTACTTCAAAGAGAGAGGCAACATTCTCAGACCCAGGTATTTCTTCTGTGAAAAACCTTTTCCTAGAAAAAAGGAAAATGATGATGTTAGTAACAACAGAAACATCTTTCCTTTTGGCATAGCTTAAAAAAACCTCAAGTCATGCAATATCCTTACTAGTGTAACAGTCCTTTCAGGTTGTCTGACATAAAGTGCATACTTCAGAAGAAGCTTTGTCATTTGTACCTCCCTCCAACAAACTTAGCCCAGTAGTTTTCATATTCACAATGGGTTAACCCAAATAAATATTCCTGGATGATACAACTAATGCTTGGTGTTTGTACTTCATCCATTAAATTTTGCTCCCCAAATATCATTACAGGAGCTGGGTGCAAATGACTCTATTAACTGTCTCCACAAAGATTGAGAGATCCTGTAAATCAAAACACCCACCACTATCAAGTTGTTTCTGGTTCATAGCAGTCACCTGTATTATAGAGCAGAATTACCCCATTGGGTTTTCTTGCCTATAATCTTTACAAAGAGCCCCAGGACAGTGCAAATGATTAAATGCTCAACCGCTAGCTAAAAGGTGGATGGTTCAAAACTACCTAAAAACACCTCAGAAGATCCTGTGGAGCACAGTTCAACTCTGCATACATGGGGTTCCCATGAGTCAGAGCAGATTTGATGGCAACTACCAACAACACTCTGCAGATTGCTGAACCCTTCTCCCCCAGCACCCTGGACATGTGCAGAGAGGACCAACCTTTAGGTTAGCAGCCACTTACAAACTGCTTGAACTACCTGAGAACTTTTGTAAAACACAAGAAGAGGCCAGAAAACCCTAACTGCCTTCACCTTTCAACTGGCGTTCATGGGAATCCGCCAAGAACTGTCGAATTCTATCTGAGGGAATTGCAAAAGAGATTCCTGCAGTCACCTTCAATGTATTTATGCCAATCACATCACCATCCTGGAAAGAGAGGGGACATCATTCATTCAGCAGGTTGCATACAAAATTGATTGTTACAAAACCAGAACAATTAAAGGAAAGCATGAAGCTAGTTATGTAGAATCAGAATGCAAGACTATTACATTATGTTGTTGTGGACTGTCAAGTTGAAACCAGTGCATAGCTGACCACCAGCAGTTTTTTAATATGGAATAAATTGCAGAGGAGGAGATAGGCCACCTTTTTCTCTGTGCTTTTGCATTAGCAGTGCGATCTCTTATCACTAAGCCACTATAGAGAGAGAGAGTGTGTGTGTGTGTGTGTGTGTGTGTGTGTGTGTGTGTTGTGTGCATGCGCTAACAAATCCATCAGTGGTTGAGGAAGAAAAATTGGAAGTTTCTTCCTGCAATTTATAGCTTCATAAACCAGTGGAGAGTCAGATATGAATCAGTTCTGATTTAACAGCAATGAAGATATTCTTTTACAGGATTAATAGCATAGAGGACATTCAGGATTGCAAAAGTCACCTATTTTTCAAAGTCAGAAGATCAATACTGCTGAGATTTTTCCCCCCCGGTCTTGAGCTCAAATGTGCAAAGAGCTAGAGTCAGAAAATCAAAAGGGACAAACTTGCTCAGCATTTCTCAAGCCAAAGGAACTGAAGGACAAATTCAAGCCTTGAGTTGCAATACTTAAAGTATTATTTGGTAGAATATTGAATGATCCAGGAAGCATAAAAAGAAGATGGAAGGTGTACAAAGAATTACTGTACCAAATATAATTGGCTGACACAAAACAATTTCATGAAATAGCATATGATCAAAAAGCAATAGTAATAAAAGAGGAAGTTCAAGCTGCTCTAAAGGAATTGGCCAAAGTAAGGCCCCAGGAATTGATGGATTACCACCTGTCATATTTCAGTAAAAAGATGCAGTCCTGCAAACTTTAACAGGACAGCAAGTAATAAATGTTGGAGAGGATGTGGTGAGATACACTGCTGGTAAGATGATAAAATGGGGCTTTCGATCTGGACTGTTCTCAGGCAAGCCGGGGAGTAACTTTTAGTTTTGCTCCTGCAATTATTCAACTGACGGGCTTTCATTTCCATTTCACATACCCTAGCAACACTTAAACCTTGCGGAATTGTATTGGTAGCTTGAAAAAGCACACTGAGAGGATACCATGCCTGTGGAAAGGATGCGAATGTGCCCATGGCTGGAGGAGCAGATAAATTCAAATACAATACCAGGGCTGAAGTGGCTTAACAAAGAAAAGAAGATTTTTCAAATCCCCTGGATGCATGCAGCTAGACATGGGTGGGATGTGGAAAAAGATGCTCCACTCTTTAGAAACTGGGCAATCCACACAGGAAAGCATCAACCAGGTGTAGATAAGCTTGACCCCAAAACATGAAAGGCAAATTTCCGATGTGCCATGAACTCCTTGCCTGATATTGAAGAAGTCAAGGACAAAAGCATAAAGAAGGGAAACAACGCCTTCAGAGTGTACCGGATGTTGCCCTTGTCTGAACGGCCTTCTAAGAAAGGAAAGAAACCAAAGACAGAAAAAGAAGACAGAGTAAAGCACATCAAGCAAGAACCAGTTGAGTCATCTTTGGGGCTTAGTAATGGAGTAAGTGATCTTTCTTCCGAGTATGCGGTCCTGACTTCACCTATAAAAAATGAAGTGGATAGTACGGTGAACATCATAGTTGTAGGACAGTCTCATCTGGACAGCAGCATTGAGGATCAAGAGATCGTCACCAACCCACCAGACATTTGCCAAGTTGTGGAAGTGACCACTGAGAGTGATGAGCAGCCAGTCAGTATGAGCGACCTCTACCCTCTGCAGATATCCCCTGTGTCTTCCTACACAGAAAGCGGAACTACCAATAGTGTGCCGACGAAGAGAGCAACGAGGTGAGGCCCCATTGGAGGAAGAAGAACATTGAAGGCAAACAGTACCTCAGCAACATGGGGACGAGAAGCACCTACCTGCTGCCCCCCATGGCAACCTTTGTCACTTACAACAAGCCTGATCTTCAGGTCACCATCAAAGAGGAGAGCTGTCCAGTGCCTTACAACAGCTCCTGGCCCACGTTCGCAGACCTCCCCCTCACTCCCTCTGTGACTGCAGCCCCCAGCAGCAGTTGGCCAGACCGGGAGACGCGGGCCAGCGTCATCAAGAAGACATCGGATATCACCCAGGCCCGGGTCAAGAGCTGTTAAGCCTTTGACCCTCCTTGGTGGTTTTTGGGATTTCTTGGCTTTGTTTTTTTGTTTGTTTGTATTTTATTTTTCTCTCTGACACCTGTTTTAGACAAATCTAAGGGGAAAAGCCTTGACAATAGAACATTGATTGCTGTGTCCACCTCCAGTACTGGAGCTGCTTTTTAAACTCAGGACTCCAGCCTATTGGTAAACACGTCTCTCTAGAGTCTGCTGGATCTCCCAGGCCTGCTCCCCCAAGTTCAAGGACGTCATAGGACCAACATTCGAAACAGGGCAGCCAAGGTCACTGTGGTGGAGTGGATGCCTCAGAATGGACGAGAAAATGTGAACTAGCTGGAATTTTTTATTCTTGTGAACATGTATATAGGGCAGGACTAGCAATGTTGCAGTCTGCTTCTGCACCTTATCTTAAAGCACTTACAAATAGGTCTTCTTATGATCTTGCTCTTTTTCACAGCACAGAATCCCCCTTCCCTACTCTCTCTTCCCACCTCCTCCTATCCCTTCGGGTTCTTTCCCTGTTTCTCCTCTGCCCAAAGGCCATGCCCGACATGCTTGAAGAGGAGGAGAAGAAAATGAACACTTCCGTAGATATCCCATTTTAAGACTGCTTTAAAAAAAAACAACAAACAAATCTTTCTAATCTGCTATGCTTGAATGCCACACGGTACAAAGGAAAACCATCATAGAAATATTATGCAAATTCCCAGATTTGAAGACAGAAAATACTCTAATTCTAACCAGAGCAAGCTTTTTTATTTTTTATACAGGGGAATATTTTATTCAAGGTAAAATTTTAAAGAAGATATAATTGTTTTTTATCTTTTCTACAGCAAATTTATAATTTTAAGATTGCTTTTCTTGTTTATCAGCAGTTGTTACTATATCCTTGTGGCACTTTTTTAAAAAATTTTGTAAAGGTGAAAAGCTTTTATGAGCTCATGTAGCAATCAGATTATCCTGTGGATTGATAATAAATAAATATGATATATAGTTAAATTAAAAAAAAAGATGATAAAATGGTACAACCACTTTGGAAGGCAGTTTGACACTTCCTCAAAAACTGAATGTAGACATTCCATATGACCCAGATATTCCACTACTTGGACTAAACCCCAAGAAAAGAGGCACAAACAGAGATTTATACACCAATATTTATAGCAGCATTATTCACCACCAGATATGGAAGCAACCCAAAAGTCCAACCACAAGCAAATGGATTAAGAAGTTATGGTATATATTCACATGATGGAATACTATGCAGCATGCAGGAGCAATGATTTTAAAAATTACTACCTAACTTGGGAAGGACTGGAGAACATTATGCTATGTGAACTAACTCAGTCCCATAAGGACAAATACTGTATAAGACCATTAGTGTAGAAATAGAAAGATATCTAGTAAACCATGTATGAGGATCCAAGGGGGCAAGAGAGTAGGAGCATAGGGGTGAGGATGTGCACTGGGGTTATCATAGGGTTGCACAATTTGAGGGTAGAGAGAGGGGTGGGTAAAGGAAATGGGAACGATCTGGTCTGAAAAACAATGTATACAAACTTTCAATGAATGACTATTTAAAATAAAAAAAGGGGTGAGGGAGCTCTGGTGGCCTAGTGGCAAAACACTGCACTGAAATCCCAGAGGTATGTGGTTCAAATCCACCAGAAGGAGGGGCAATCTCCTCCTGTACCAGTCAGATCTGATTTGATGGTACACACACAAAAAATAATAAAATTTTTAAAAAGGGGAAGGTAAACTGGAGGAGGAGGAAATAAAGGAGAGGAGGTAAAATGTGCAACAATAAATGAATGAAAATCTAACTTCTCTGTAAACGTTCATTAAAATATACTGAAAAACAAGGAACTTATGAAATACTATGCTAAGGGGATGACCCTAAAGGAGATTATGCTGAGTGAAATATCTCAATCACAAAAGGACAAATATTGCATAGGGCCACTATTGTAAAACAGGACTGACATTGGGGTTGAGGGAAGGTAGAGAAGAAGGGGAGGAACAATGTATACTGCATTGCAACAGAAGCAGCAGCGAACTGTTTAAAAGGGATATAAAATTAGGCATTATTGTCATGACAGGAGTCTTGAAGGCTTTACAGTGTAGTGGGCTTGGGGGAAGGGATTGCATAGCAATGAAAGAATTTTTATTTTACTCATCAAGGAGAAAAGTGAATTTTGGGGTGTGGGCAGGGAGAAAAGTGTAACAATGAATGACTGGAAACCCTAAGTCTCTGTAAACGTTCATTAAAATTAATAAAAAAGAAAAAAATCACAATTAAAATTTCATTAAAACCAGAAAAACAGCGTATATGAACTTCATAAGTAAACCAGAATAAAATAAAAATTTTACCTAAATTTTACTTTAAAAAAAAAATGCAGCCCTGGATGTGCTCATCAGGTTATACCAAGAAATCTGGAGAACAGTTACCTGGCCAACTGTCTGGAAAAGATCCATATTATTCCCATTCCTAAAATAGGTGATCAAACAGATTTTGAAAATTACCAAAAAAAATATCACTATTATCACATTCAAAAAAAACCTAACGAAAAATAAGAAAAAAAAATTACTAGAACAGTACATCAGCAGAGGACTACCAGATATACAAGCTGAGTTTAGAAGAGGTTGTGGGACTAGGGATATTATTGCCAATGTCACATCAATCTTCGTTAAAAGCAGAAGAGTATCAGAAGATGTCTATTGGTGTTTTATTGACTATGCAAAGACTTTAACCGTAAGGTTAACATTGAGAAAAATGGGAATCCCAGAACACTTAATTGTCCTCACATAAAACCAGTACTTAGGCCAGAAGCTGTTATACGAACACAGCAAGGGAACACTACATGGTTCAAAATCAAGAAAGGAATGCTTCAGTGATGTAGCCTTTCTCCATATCTTTTCAATCTATATGTGGAACAGGTTATTCAGAAGCCTGGACTTCATGAAGAAGAACGTGGCATCAGGATTGGAGAAAAACTCATCAACAACCTGCCATTTGTAGATGATACAACCTTGCTCGCCAAAACTGAAGAAGATTTGAACTATTTGCTACAGAAATCCAAGGACTCGCTTCAACGATTTAGATCCTCCCAGAAGAGCTATGGGTGAGCATTAACATTATTGGTAGGTATATTCGTTTTCTCCTGGACACAAGAGCCTATTTGGTCCTAAAAGGCTTCTGAGGTTCCAACTCTTCTCACTATTTCTTTGTTGTTGGAATTGACAGAAAACCTCATAAGCAGTTCCTTACTTCACCTCTGCCTTGCATGCGAACTTCCGAGTTGTAAAACAACCCAGTGGTAGATGGAATTTGCTCCAGGACTTAAGAACCATAAATGACATAGCTGAGCCTCTACATCTTGTTGTTCCTAACCTTTATACCATAATAGAGAAAGTGCTAGTCAATAGGCCTTTTATTGTAAGAACTACCTTCCTTCCATAACTTGATTTGTGCCACTACTCGGAATATTATTGCTTTTTAATTTTTTACTTATGTACTTTTAACTTGTTAGTTAAATTTGTGTCTTCTAGGCTGCAACACTTCCATGATACATCTTCAAGGATATGAACATGTACGGCTAAGCACAACTGATAACATTGCATCTAAATTCCAAAATCAATCTCCATAATAGTCTATGTGTTTCCTATTGCCAAAGGGGCCCTTTAGAGTAGTGAGAGAAGATCTTCACCCTGAGACCTACAGCGTCCCTTTTCAGCAGGAAGTAGCTAAGAGAATATGCCATCCCCTTTTCCTTATGAATCCGGGTGAAGTCTCTCTCAGGGAGGAGTGATAGGGAATGGCAAAGGACAGACTGACAAAGGAGATTACTCAGAACTGGCTTTGACAAGCACTGCAGCAATGGGACAATTAAAACAGACTTTTGGGGGGGGGAACAAAAGAAGAACGAACTGGGGAGGAGGGAAGAGAAAATAATGTAACGATGAATGAATGAAAACCTAAAATCTCTGTAAATGTTCATTAAAAGTAATAAAATTTAATTTAAAAAAAAAGCCAAGGACTGCAGTCTTTAATATGGATTGCATCTCAACATCAAGAAAATAAACATTCTCACCATGGGGCCAATTGGCAGCATCATGATAGGTGGAGAAGAGATTGAGGTTGTTAACAATTTTATCTTGCTTGTGTCCACAATCAACACTCTTGGCACCAGCAATCAGGATATCAATAATGAGTTGCTTTAGGAAAGTCTGTTGTCAGTGATCCCTCCAGAGTGCTAAGGAGCAACAATGTCCGTCTAGAGAAGAAGGTGTACCTGATCTAGGCCATGGTATTATCAGTTGCTTGTTATGCATCTGATAAATGGACAGAAGAATCAATGCCTTTGAATTATGATCCTGGAGAAGAGTATCAAATATATCATGGACTGCTACAGGAAGAAACAGGCCTGTCCTGGAGAGAGTGAAACCAAGTTGTTCCTTGGAGGCAAGGATTTTGACATACTTAGGGCACGTTGCCAGGAAGGACCAGTCCTTGGTGAAGGACATAATGTTTGGAAGGGCAGAAAGTCAGCACGAGAAAGGAAGACCCTGGATGAGATAGATTGACACAGTGACTGGCAATAGGGGCAAGTGTGTCAGAGACAGTGAGATTGGCTCAAGGTAGGGCAGGGTTCAGAGATATTGTACATAGGGTTGCTATGAGTCATAGTCAGCTCCACAGCACATAACAACAACAAATTATATACTGCTATTATTATACTGTTGTGGTTTTTTGGTTTTTTCTAATTTCTTTTTTTAAAAAATTTTATTAAATTTTATTCATTTTCATGAACATTTACAGAGATTTTGGATTTCCATTCATTCATTGTTGCACTTATTATACTGTTTTTAAAAGGGAACCACATTGGCGAACTCTGGTGGCCTAGTGGCAAGAAACTGCACTGCAATCCCCGAGGTATGTGCTTCAAATCCACCAGATGATCTGCCAGAGGAGGAGGAACACTCTCCTGTACCAGTCAGATCCGATTTAACGGTACACACAAATTAATGATAAAAAAAAAAGTGAACTACATCAAGTTCTCATGTAATCCAGACTTTCTGAATCCATAGAGGCTAGATGAATTCCTGCAATATTGTTTCAACCTTCAGCCAAAGACTTCTCTGAAGTCTTCTTTAAGCTAAGCAGTAGTTTCCCATACCAATACCATCAAGTCAGAACTAACTCATAGCTGATCCTCCTCCGGGGTTGTGAGGCTGTAAATTACATGGGAGGAGACTATCCATCTTGCTTCGGCATGGCCACTGGAGGATTCAGACTGCCAGAGAGGCACAGCCTTTGAGTTAACAGTGCAACTCCCTGAGGACTCCACAACTGGAGCTCCTTGATTGTTTCTTTCTAGCTTAATTAGGATGCCTGCCTTGGGTATTGTGTCCTTTTAAAAAAATTAACTTGGGATCAAATTAACAGCAGCAACTCTCTAAAGGGTAGAGAACAAACGTAGGGGCATGGAATGAATGGTGAAATGGAGAAAGACGCTTTGGAAGAGGAAGGTGAGAATGGCCGCCAACCTGGAAGAGTGTGATCAGTGTCACTGAATCGTACATGGAGAAAGTATTTAATTGTTATAGATTTTGTATATATTTTCAAAAACAACAGAAATAAGTATTTTTAAATAAGCTGTTGAATTTCTTAACACTTCAATGTAACTATTCAGAAGAAATAACAAAATTGGTGTTAGGGAACAAAAATCTGCTAAATAGGAAATCTATGCCTCTTTAAGTACTTCCATTTCCTGTAGCCATTACTTTGTTAAGTAATGAAAGAAACAGAGAAAAAGACTTCTGATTCCAAACCAGTGAACCTAGGGTGTAGCCTGAAACCATGCAGTCCAACCACATTTCAGACACTATGACTCTAGTACTTTCTCATGGTCTAATGGAGAAAGCAGGTGTAAAAAAATTACTTGTCACATCATGAGTAAAAGTGCTCAGCAGTTACACACAATTCATACTCCTAAAACCAAGTGTAATTTACACAAAGGAACTAAAAACAATCAGCTCACAGACTCAGCATTATCGCAGCTTTTATGTCAAACCAGTGCATTCACTTATGTTTTCACTTGTATTTAAGCAACTAGAAACACTGGCATTTCCACTGGAGATGCTGAATATACATGACAAAAAAAATAATGTGCATGGCACAGCGATGGGTTCCTGCTTTGGCTTTTTTTTTTTTTAATCTTAAACATAGGTTAAGAATGAAAACCAAGACAAGGCTTATCACATAATTAGCAATTTTTGTGTGTGTGTGAAAAGCATTTCATATGCAGGAGCAAGAGGTCTTCAAGAATATATATAATATAGTGAAATTGATTATTTGTCATAAAGCTACCAGAACTTTGGTAGCATTCCAGTGAAAACAGAAAACATGTTGGAGAAAAAAACTTTGCAGTCAGCCAAAACCCTGGCAGTTCTCAGTTGGATGAGGTCACATGCCAGGATGATTAAATCCATCATGGCTCTTATATTTTTCCTAACCATTTATTTAAGATTCAAGAATAGAAAAGCATCATTCCATAAATCTCAGCATAACAGTGATACCCGTGCCTGCATCACAGTGTTTGTAAGTTTGAAAAAGATACAAAGCAACAAAGATAAAAGTATGGAGAAAGTATGTCCACTCACCAAGTTCACCAGCGGCCCCCCAGAGTTCCCATGCTGAAAAGGAGAATTTAGGAGGGGACGGGGAAACAAATATTAGTAAGATCAGTGAATTCATTTCTCCTCATCATTTATAAATAATTCCTAGTGAAATTTACAAAAGCAACCCGCTCTGGAAAGCCCCTATACCTCCGACACATGCAAAATTGTGCCCTCCACCATCACCAAACCCAAAGTCAGTATAGGTACAGATCTGAAGCAAAAGGGCCATCGTAACAGTAGAGCTCTCTGATGGACTCTGAGAGAGCACCCAGTGTCATCGAGCCAATTATCACATCACGTTGGGGAAAGTAGAGGGTTAGAACAAAAGAAGAAGACCCTCAAAGATGGACTGACACAGTGATGAGTGATGGCTTGAACAGGGTGTAGATCATGAGGACGGTGCAGGCCAGGATCAAATTTGAATCTGCGGTCCATAGGGTTGAGTTAAATCATAGTTGCAGTCATAGTTCTCTCTTGTTAGGATCTAATTAAACTCTGGATCCCCAAAAGGTCAAAGGGGGAAAAGTCACTCTAAAGTTTTTCCTTCCCATTGTACCTCCAGTATCTTATAGGGTGAATATGACCCTCCTAAGTGACTAAGGTGCACCTGATACAGGCCATGGTCTTTGCAATCGCTTGTTATGCATCAGAAAGTTGGACAATGACTAGGGAGGACAGAAGGAGAGTGGATGCTTTTGAGCTGTGGTGCTGGAGGAGTACTGAATGTACCATGGACTGCCAGAGAAGGAGATTCATCTTGGAGAGGATTAAACCAAGCTACTCCTTGGAGGCAAGGATTCTGGGGCTTCGTCTGACATACTTTGGACACATTGCCAGGAGGTGTGGGTCCTTGGAGAGGGACATCATGCTTGGGAGGGTGGAGGGACAGCGCAGGAGGGGAAGACCCTCTATGAGATGGATTGATTCGGTGACTGGGGTAATCGGGATGGGTGTGTCAGAGGCAGTGCGGTTGGCGCAGGATAGAGCAGGGTTTAGGGCTGTTGTGCATATGTTCGCTATGAGTCGCAAACGACTCGATGGCACATAACAACAACAACAACAACAAGTGACTTACATTAATAATGGCATCAGTCTGGATGTAATCCATGTCTGAATTCTTCAGACCCAGCTCCTTCCCCCCTCTCTGTGTGGTGCTAACAATTCCTGCTGTCACTGTGTTCTGCAGAGAAAATGGGCTGCCCAAGGCCACCACGAATTCTCCAGCCCGAAGGTCAGAAGATCTTCCCAGCAGCAGTACGGGGAGGTCGGTCTGTGTATGGTAAGCAAAGATAAGGATGCATGGTAAGCAAAGGTAAGGATGAAGCACAGATCAAGAAGAATCAACCAGACACAGCATCATTTTGCTCTTAAAATCTAAGAATCATCTACCCACAGATTCTATAACTACCTTACTGCTTCTTTCTCAAATTCCAACTCTGACCTAACTCACTAGTTAAGGTGATCAGTGTCACGTCCAAGCCTATTGGAAACTGAGCAAACTACTAATGAAGTAACTAAAAAACAGAATCTGACTACCAATTTATTAAGTAAGCACTATTCCAGCTCAAGTGCTTACGTCAAAACTAACAAGCTACAAAACAGAAAGGAGGTCATCCAGAACAATGTTGCTCAGTCTCTAATACAGAAACAAATAAGATGGGGATCTTATCAAAATATGGATTCTGACTCAGTATCTCTGGGTGCAGTCTGAAATTGTGTATCCCTGGAAAGCTGTCAGATGATGTCAGCATTGCTGGTGTGCAGTCATACTTTATTTAGCAAGACCTCAAAGTTTTCATTAACTGAGATCTTAAAACTAAATATTAATTTGACTTATTATTTTGTGCCATCAAGTTGGAACCTACTAATAGCTGACCCTCCAGCGGGTTTTCAGAGGCAGTAAATCTCACAGGAGGAAACTGCCCAACCATCTTCTGAGAAGCAGCTGGTGGATTTGAAATGAGTACCTTTGGGACTTCAGCACAGCTTCTTACCATTAGCTAGTTTAAAATACCTGCTTTGGGAGTCTGATCTTTTAAGACCTCTCTGGATGGGATCAAATTGACAACAGCAACTCAAAAGACTAAGTAAGAACCTTTGAGAGAAGTAGGGGAAGTTAACCAGAAAAGAACACATCAGAAAAGGTGAGTAAGAATGGTTGCACAACCTGGAGGTTGTAATCAATGCCACTGAATTGTACATGTAAGAACTGTTGAATTGGCTTTTGTTTTGCATGTATAGTATCAATAATTACAACAACAAAGTATAGTAAGACAAAAACCTGTCAGAGAAGTAAAATATACTCCACTAAAATGAGCAAGAGAAGAGTGATAAGACCTCATCCAGTCCAAGGAGGCAAACTTGCAAGACCCAGAAAAATAAGGTAGGCCTGTCAAGTTCCAGCTCACTGATTTCAATGTAAATACACTTAAAAAAGAAAATAATAATAATAGTAATATGCATAACAGTGAATTCATGAATTGTTTTTATCTCAAAAATTATAACCCTAAGCTTATAAATAATTTCCCAGTAAAAGAACAAAACTGGAGCTGGAATACATAATAAATAAAATAAAGAAAGAAAAAGACATTCCTTAGGAGCTTTGAGAATTTATAATAAATGAAAAACTATAATATCTGGTATAATACAGCAAGCAGATAAAATATGTTTCCCAGAAACAGCAACTAATGAAGAATGATTTGAAGGAAGAGAAAGTTGTGGGAGGTACTACATAAAAATTGTCAATGGTGGGCTCCTGGGCAAAGAAGAAAATTAACCAAAAAGACAAAGAAGAAAAAGGAAAAAAACATCAAAGAAAAGAAACTAGAAAACAGCATATGCTATGTAGGAAAAGATGGGGTGAGGTGGGGTGGGGTGGGATTGGAGGAGGGGGGAAAATTAATGAATTTATGAAGATCCCTGACTAATGCAAACTCCAGCTTAGTGCTTAAATACTCACATTTGGCTCAATCTTAATCAGTGCAAGGTCCAATTTATGGTCAATATCCTTGACAGTGGCTTCATACTGGGCCCCATTCTGGAGCTCCACCTGGATCCGCTGCCAGTTAGTAAGGACATGGGCATTAGTAACAATGAGCCCATCCTCAGACACTATGAACCCAGAGCCACTGGAGGCAGGGATATCCTTGTCGCTGAGAGGTGACCTGTCTCAGCAAGAAAACAGTATAAGGAAAAGTCAGAAAACCAAGAAAATCAATGGGAACATAAGAGCAACACATTTATTAAACATATCTCCATCAAAATGTTCTGACATTTTTCTTTTTTCATTGTTTTCATTTCTCCCTGTGTAAATGAGCCCTGTTTGTACAATGTTCTAACAACTCATTTTAGCATACAAGATACTAAAAGCTTATTCCAACTTTCCATTTCTAAGGATACTCCCTTCTTAAAAGCTGGTCAGTACAGAAACCTGTAGGCTTTTAGCTTCAAAGAAGCCTAAACCTAATACTATGGGCAAACCTAATACTATGTGCTGTACTAAGGATCAAAGCAAGCAGAACGTGAAGAGGTCTGGGTTCTGGTTAACATTTTACTATTAATTGACCTTGTGACATAAGACAAACTTTCCCCCCCCCCTTTTCAGGGGAAATCATTCCATGCATAGAGCTGGATAATATCACTATCAAGATGCGTTTTATCTTTTAGTTCCGATCTTAAATTTTTTCTATACAAACTAAGGGAAAACCATCAACTACCCAAGGGCAGAAGAGTAGACTAGATTTAGAAGTCAGAAGTCTCCATGACCTTGAACAGATTACTCAACCTCTTTGCACCTCTATTTCCTCACTGTGATAAAGATTCAATGATGCCTACAAAGTAGCCACGCAAGAGTTGAGAGCAGGGTGGTTAAGTGCAAGCGACCCTATGAAAAACAGGTCGAAGCCTTGCCCCCAACCTGCGCCATGCTCAAGCCCATATAGTTAGGATCACTGGGTGTCAATCCATATCGTTGAGAGTTTCCTATTTCTCTGACCCTCTCTCTTTCCCAGCATTTTTCCAAGGACAAACGCCCCGGACATGTCAAGTCAATGCGACGAAGCTGGCACTGAAAGCGCAGTGGTGTCTGAGGGCCTGCTCCTCTCCCTTTACCTGCGGTACAGCTGCAAGTGAACCACAGATGGCGCCACCTTCTCCACCACACTGGCGATAAAGTTGTACTTGCTCCGGAGCCGGCCTGCCCTTCTGATCCCTGCGAAGAAATGTTGCTGTTGCGACCCTCGCTTGCTTATCCTATGTCATATCTCAGATCTCTCACTCCATCTCTCTTTTTCTCCATTTTCCCTCTACGCCTTTTGGAGAATATTCATATTCTCATTCATTCTCTCTCTCTCTCCAGTAAGAATCCACTTTAAGAGACCAAAACTGACATCCCATTTGGGGAGAAAAAGGTTTTAAGGGAAGAGTTTCCTCAAATATGAGGAGGAAACGGGGGGGGGGGTGTAAAAAAAAATCACAGGGGAAGCAGTAGACAGGTACCTGTAGGGAGGAGGAAATGAATTTTAAAAGCTGCTCCACCGGAGAAAGGTGGACAACTTCGTCCCATGCGATTCACACCCTAGGGGGAAACGCTGGAAGGTCAATTATGCGTCAGTTCTGACTCGACAGTATACAATAACATAGGGGAGAAATAAAATTGGAAACCAGAATACTTGACAAACAAGGTCTAAGGCGGGCCGCTGCAGTGAACTGTGAGACTGAAGTACGCCCCTTGAGAATCTTTTTTTTAATTATTAATATTCATTTTCATGAAAATTTACAGACTTTGGATTTCCATTCATTGTTCCACTCCTCTTCTTGCTTGCCCCCCGCCCCCTGCCCCCAGTTCGCTCTTCTCTTTGAAAAGTAAAAGAAAAATTCTTTCATTGTTATACAATCCCTCCCCCAAAGTCCACGCCATTAAGCAGCCTTCGTTCTGGATTCCTTTCCGCGGAGCGCAGCGGCTCTCAGCTCACCTGGGTCTGCGCAGTCTCCCTTCTGCACCGGCACGGCCGAAAGCGCCCCGCGAAGGCGCGCAGCGCGGTTCTCGGCGCGGAGCGCGCACAGGCTGGGATAGGTGCGCCCGTCACTGCCACACACAGCCTCTCCCGCCGCCGGGCAGCCGCAAGTACCGAGCCACTCGCCGCCGAGGGGCCCCGGGCTAAACGGGGGGAGGCATTGCAGCCCGGCAGCGCACGGCCGACCGTACGCCCCGCCGCAGACCTCCCCCTCGGCGGCGGCGCAGATGCGGCAGCAGCGGCAGCGGTCCAGCACTGGTGGCAGCCCTGCGGGACAGGTGGGCAGCGGAGGGCAGCGCGTAGGCTCGCAGGCTGCGGGGCAGGGCAGTGAAGTCCTGGATCTCCTAGCCTCAACCATGAACACAGTCATCGGGGACAGCAGCAGCCACATCAGGAGGAACTGTCCAAGCCCAGCTGGCCGCAGTTGAGGGCTAGTCATCCTGTTCCTTATTTTTTAGCTTCTACTTTTCCAGTGACTCCACTGTACCCGCAAAGCTGCTTTTGGGGCAGTGCTTCCTCTAGCAATCCCGCTTTTAAGAGGCAGAGTCTGGCAGTTATCTCCCCCACACCCCCCTACATCCGCCCCGAGGTAGGAGTGGGGGGGCAGACCCACTCTCAGGCAATAAAGCAGGACCCTAGCCCTAGCCTGGGTGCTCTGCCTTGTGAAATCCATAAAACCAAATGGGGGCAAAATGATCACACACCCACGGGCAGAGGTCAGTGTTAGGAAAACATACCACCACATTTCAGTATTTCATTCACACGGTTTTATTACAAAACAAGCAACAGTTTTAGAAAATTATTTTTTGCTACATACCAATTAGGAGATCACATAAAATGAGAAGCGTAACAGTTTCCATGCACTCAGCCCAGTGCCTACTTACTCCGAGTACTTGTCATGGCTGAAGCACACTGGTCAAAACACAGATCATGCCACACCTTCATAAGCAGTGGGAGAGGAGCTCAAACAATGTTGTGGTCAGGCATAAATTGGTCAAACTATCTCAACAGGGACTCTGATTGCTACAGGCAGTAACAGTGAAAATCAGACTTTGGGATGGGAGGAGGGGGCAGATTAGTGACACCCAATAGAAAATGATTCATAAATCGATCCATTTCTGACACATTCAAAGCTGATACAGTTGATTTGGGAAATTCTATTTCTAAAGTGCTATCCCCTCCTTGTGCCTGGTATTAAATCTTGCTGTTCAAACTTGTTGTTGTTATGTGCCATCGAGTCTCTTGCGACTCATAGCGACCCTATGTACAAGAGCTCTATACACTCTTCTATCCTGTTACTGTATCATTGCAGTTCCTGGCAGAATAGGTAAGGAAAAGCCCTTCTGTTTTCAAGTAAGCAAGGACAATGAACCTTAACTCTTTCCCTCCGGGGGTCATTCCAGATGTGTAATGCCAATATTTTTATCTGAGAGTACTCAACAGTAGTCCTTAATAGTACTTAATAGTATGGTGATCTCGAGAAAAAAAAATAATCAAAGTGTTTTTACCTATCATCAGCTAACTGAATAAACAACTCTCAAAACTCTACAAAGTGGCCAATAATCAGTGAAACTATAAGAAAGGGGGGGAAAAGGGGAGTGTAAAATCCCTTCAAACTCATTGCTGGTCAAGTGGGAACCAAATCATAGCTGACCCACCAGCAGCATCTCTCTAGCTTCTGCCCCCTAAAATAACAAGGGAGGAGATTGTCCTCTTTTCATCCCCAACAATTGGTGATTTGAACCCCAAGAGAGGTGCCACCTTTGCGTTAGCATTGCAGCTCCCTGTGGAAGTTCCTCTCCAGAGCACTCTAAGCTTTAGGGAAGAACACTTTTAAGCTTTATTACATGTGATGGGTGAAATACTAGCTCAAAAACCTTACGGAAACAACAAAATTCAGTGAAGATTTTTATTTCACAAAAAAAATGCAGCATCTGTTTTCAAAAAGATTCGTCTTTGTTGTTATTAATGCAGATTTATTCCAAAATCCAGACACTTCATCACTGCCTACTTTGTCTATTTTTCCCCATCTAACACTAAATGCAGTGGTTATGCAGCATCTTTGGCTAACATGTATATTGGCATTTACAGGTATTGTGTGAACCAAGCAGTAAGTAAAAACATAAGGGCAAAGAAAGGACTTATGAAAGGTCAGGAGATGTGAATGCTTTCAGATGGTTTCACTGAAGATTATATTCATTAGAGGCTTAAACTACAAAAACTATGCTCTCGTTTGGAATTCCCAAATTCCAAAGGGAATTTGTCACTCACATCTGAGTTAGAGCCCTTATTTTACCTCTATCAGGATAATACAATCCGGATGTATGAGAATGTTTCATTTCCCACATTCTCAAAATAAACTTTCATGAATATAACACAATTGATTTAGTGTAATAACTGCAGAGTACTTATGAGTTTTCCATAACTTAAATATAAAAATTTATCTTTCCCATGAATCAATGAATATTTAGAGGAATACCAAAAGTTCCAAATTTTATTTTCATCAATTCAACATCACACATTGTGTATTTAATTGACCAGCTAAGGGTTTTCTTCTTTTTTTTTTCAGCTGAGGGTTTTCTTGAAAAAAATTTCAAAGCAAAACCAGGGACATTTAAGAAAATGGAATGTTTTCTTGAAGTCAGGCTACTTGAGTATGCCATAATCTCAATTCTACATATTTAAATAATTCCCAAACATAGCATTTTTGAAGCTGAAAGTACATGAGAATCTGAGAATCTGTAAGTACAAAAGAAATCTGTAGGAGGGAAAAAAAGAGAAATTAATTCATCCAATGATAGCTTTTCCATTTTTTAGTAGCTTTTCCACTTTTTGGACCAGCACCACTTGGTCAAATCAGTTTTAAATTAAGGACGAGACCAGTACCATCAAGAAAAGTTCTTAATATGACAGACATCAAGGAAACTACACAGCCTGAAAGAAAAAGATTCCTCTCAATTAACTAACAACTTTGTAATCAAGTATTTCAGCCTCTACACTCAATTTGGATTTACTCAAGTAAAAGTGCTTTTAGTCTCTTCCTCTAGGCATTAATTTTTAAAATTTAAAAATGTAACTGATCTAGCTGATAAAAGTTATACATGGAAATGAGCTAAGACACTCTCTCCCAATAGGGAACACCAATAACTTTCTTGGTTGTGTTTTGAGATGTAAATTGGATGTGCAATTTGCCACACATTTCTTCCACAAACACAGAAAATAATATCTTCTCATTAAATGGAAGAAGTTACATATCCTAAAATGTGGGAGCAAACTCAATATTCTATATTCTTCTACCTAGGAAATCTCTAGCCAGCAACTCATAACCTCAGAATCAGTATTTCTCTACTCAGTTTCTATTTTATTAAAAATATAAGTATCTCTCCAGATTATCTTTTAGCTGTTAGGTACTTGAAACTTGTCAGATTACAGTTTGACCACGCATACAAGGTTTCATTCAGAAGACAACACAAAGAATAAAAAGAAAGCAAATCCTAGGCTATAAAATACAAAGAGCTTAAAATCATACTATTAATGGCCCATTAAAAGAAAAAAAAGAGTTGTGAGGCAAGGATTCAAGATAATCTGTCATTGTTCAAACAGTCTTCTTATCCTAGAAAACATGGACACACACACACACAAAGCCTACCTGGATAACTCACTCTTCACAGCACCTGCTTTAAAACTAATCTTCTAACTCTGAAAGAGAGATCTAAATTATCATACATTGATCAACCCTCCATACACTCCATGTTCTCAACACCCATTCGTAACACTTAACACTGATAAACCCATCGCTGGGGCCTGGAAAGGAACCCAGGTAGGTAGCTGTCACTCACGTCCCAATAAGGACTCTACAGTATGTCGATACTTAGAAAGGAACATTTAGAAGAGAACAGGGTAATTTCCAAAATGGTTGGAAGCACTAGGGTTTAATTTATTCCCTACACCTACATAAGGTTCTTTTCTCTCCCCTTACAAGATCCTCTGAAGGGTAAGTATTCTGAAGATCACCTTCTAACCCCAGTTCTTAGATCCTCCCTCAGAATGATTCCAGTCAAGCTGGAGCCTGAGTCTTCCATTTTTTTCCCCTCTTTATCACAACAGGGTAAGCCACCACCCTTCTATTTCACAGTCAGACCTCAGCCAATGAAAGAGTAGCATAAAGTCAGGTGAGTGGCCACCTAAATGGAACATGGCCTGAAAATGAAATTTAAAAAAAATAAAAAGGAGAGAGAAAGAACAAAAAAGGGACAAGTAAATGCATCTCATTTAGGGGTGCCATTAAACTTCCAACTTCTTCTGGAGAAGAGTTGTTAAAATAACCCCTTATCAGGAAGACCTTGGAAAAATCAGCAAGAGACAACCTGCTGTCCACTGAGCATGTCTACAGATCTAACCTAGTGATGTTCCTAAATTAAATATACTGCAATGATATTAAAAAAAAAAAAACACAAAACAACCAAAACCAAACCAACAAAACCAGCAGGTTGGACTCCTTCCACAGAGAATCCACAGGACTATGTCCCTCTGAGTATCCTCTAACAAAGCAGAGAAACAATGCACGGCTTTTCTCTCCTGACTCCTCCTTCCCTCCCCTGGCTCTCTGCCTCATCACACATCAGAGGTCCGTATATTTTCATCATCAAGATTGAACAGGAATGGCTTCTCCTTAGGGTGCTGTGGCTCCGATCTATGCCTCAGCCGGGAGCTTGGCAACATGCTAGCAGCACTGCTGTCCCCCAGTCGAGACGTGAACAAAGAGTCCTCCAGAGTCTCTTCAGCTGGAGGCAGCTTTTCCCCAGCCTGGGGTACAGGTGTCCAAGGTTGCCAGGAGGAGACCATGGAGACCGTGGACGGGCCTTTGCAGATGAGGCTTTTTTTCTCTTCTACAGGTGGCCGCCCTTTGTGTAAAACAGAGTTTGGCCCACCTGAGATGCTGGAGCTTCCAGGCCGAGTCAAAGAAATGGATCGGGAAAAGGAAAGTTCCTAAAAAGAGAGAGAGAGAGAGAGAGAAAGACAAAGAAATGTAATGGCCATGCCTGGGACTGTTTACTCCAAAAATCCAAGAAAAGCAACAAGCCAGGAACCCCACTTCAGAGGTCTAGAGATCTCTGTCAACAAAAATTAAGTATCTTCCACAGAATTTACTCCAGATATGTACGATTTTGGTGTCAAAATCTGCTTTGACAGAATGTAGGACACATTAAACCCCCCACTTCGCCACCCAACCTTACCACAACTCCTCCAACAACTGAAAAACAGAAAATAAAAACTTGTGCCCAAACCAGTAGTAAGAGAAAAACAAAACGAGACAGCCTGGGGCTTCAGCCGCATCCAGGGACTGGGCTACTTGCCTGTATCACCAAATAAAAACATGCCCACTCAAAGAGAATTCATGTCTAAGTTGACATTAATTGTGCAACAGAAAGGAAGTGACTTACTCTAGGGTGGCACTTGAGGGCCTGGACAGCTGCCCCGATCTCCTTAATCCAGCTGTGCATGTCTTCAGGGCTGTCAGCCTGCAAAACATCCATAGCATTATAGAAACATTTTTGGCAGCATGATTTCAGCTTTCAACTCTGACTCAACTTTAAAGATCATAAAATCACACCATTACAGTTTGGAAAAGACCACAAAGATTATCTAGCCCAGTGGCTTTCAAACTCATGAGGAAATTTTTTCCCTGCAAAATCTTATTTAATACCTGTTACGAAAAATAGATGCTGGAATACTAACTCCTAGAGCATGAATGTAGTTTTGTTTGGGAATGAAACTTTCTCTGCCATTAAAAATGAGCCTCTATCAGTGTACAGTGCCCTAATCTTTTCTGAATTATGAGCAGCACCACAGACAGAGGCAATGAAGCAGATGAGCCAGAGGATGATACCAACAGAGGTTGGTGAATCTAAAAGCCCCAAAGGACTGCCAGCTATTAAAAACTGAAGCAAGGGGCTCTGGTGGCTTAGTGGTAAGGAATTGTGCTGCCACACAAATGGTGTATGTGGTTCAAACCCACCAGTTGTTCTGTAGGAGAAAGTTCGTCAATCTCCTTGTATACTTGATGTTGTTGTTAGGTGCCATCGAGTCGCTTGCGACTCATAGTGACCCTATCTATGGACAAGAACCCTAAGAGCCACTCTATCCTGTGCCAACCTCGCCGTCTCTGACACACTCATTCCCACCACCCCAATCACAGAACTGATCCATCTCATCAAGGGTCTTCCTCTCCTGCACCATAGGGATGGTGCAGAGATGGAAAGAGGAGGACCTCTCTCCCAAACATGATGTACCTCTCCAAGGACCAGTCCCTCCTTGCAACATGCCCAAAGTATGTCAGATGAGGCTTCAGAATCCTTGACTTCAAGGAGCATTCCAGCTTCACCCTCTCCAGGACAAATCTATTTGTTCTCCTAGCAGTCCCTGATACATTCAACACTCTTCTTCAGCACCACAGCGCAAAGGCATCAATTCTCTCTCTCTTTTTTGGTGGGGGTGTGTTTGTTTTTATTTTTTTTATACCATTTTTAAAAATTTTATTATTAATTTCAATGAAAATTTACAGAGACTTTGGGTTTCCATTCATTCCTTGTTGCACTTTTCTCTCTTCCCAACCCTCCCTCCTAGTACACTACCCTCTTGGAAAAGTAAAAGAAAAATTCTTTCACTGTTTTAAAAACCCTCCCCCAGGTCCACTACACTATGCAGCCTTCGCTCTGGATTCCTGTCATGACAAAAATACATAATCACATATCCCTTTTAAACAGGTTTTTCCCTCATCTGTTTCAATGAAGTATACATTACTGAACCCATCTTTCTCAGTCTCGTCCCAACCCTGATGTCAGTCTTGTTTTACCACAGTGGCACCATGCAGTATTTGTCCTTTTGTGACTGAGATAGTTCACTCAGCATAATGTCCTCCAGGGTCACCCAAATTGAATAATATTGCATAAATTCCTTATTTTTCAAGGCAGCGTAATATTCCATTGTGTGAATATACCACAGCTTCTCTATCCATTAGTCTGTGGATGGGAACTTAGGTTGTTTCCAACCCCATGCTATTGTGAACAAAGCCGCTATAATCACGGGTGTGCATACCAATTCTCTATCATCTCTAGTCACTGTCCAACTCTCCAATGCATAGCATGTAACTGCGAAGACTATAAGCCTGGATCAGGCACACCTTAGTCTCCAGCCTGATGCTGTTGCTCTTTAGTACTCTTAAGAGGTCACTCACAACTGACTTTCCCAATGCAATAAGTCTCTTGATTTCCTGGCTGCTGGTACCAAGAGTGCTGACTGTGGAGCCAAGTAAACTAAAACTGCTAACAATCTCAAACTCTTCACCATCCATACTGATGCTGCCAAATTGGCCCAGTGGTGAGAATCCTTTTCTGATTCTGAACTTCACTCCGTATTGAAGGCTGCAGTCCTTGACCTTCTGCAGCAAGTGCTTCAGGTCCTCCTCACTTTCAGCAAGCAGGGTTGTGTCATCTGCATAACACAGGTTGTTGATGATTCTTCCACCAATCCTGATGTCACATTCTTCCTTGTACAGCCCAGCGTCTCAGATGATCTGTTCTGCATACAGATTGAAAAGGTATAGAGACAAAATATATCCCTGACGGTCGAACCCGCTTCTTGATTTTGAACCATGTAGTGTCTCCTTCAAAATTGGGAAGGGCATACGCCAGGGATGTGTCCTGTCTCCATACCTTTTCAGCCTGTATGCAGAACAGATTATCTGGGAGGCTGGGCTCTATGAGGAGAAATGTGGGGTCAAGATTGGTGGAAGATCTATCAACAATCTGCGTTATGCAGATGACACAACCCTGCTTGCTGAAACTGAGGAGGACCTGAAGCGCTTGCTGCAGAGGGTCAAGGACTGCAGCCTCCAATATAGATTGAGGCTCAATATCAAGAAGACAAAGATTCTCACCACTGGGCCAACTGGCAGCATCAGGATGGATAGTGAAGAGATTGAGATTGATCACAGCTTTAGTTTGCTTGGCTCCACAATCAACACTTTTGGCACCAGTAGCCAGGAAATTAAAAGGCTTATTGCCTGGGAAAGTCTGCTGTTAGGGACCTCTCCAAAGTACTGAAGAGCAGTGGTGTCTCTCTGGAGACTAAGATGCATCTGATACAGGCCATGGTCTTTGCAATCACTTGCTTTGCATCAGAGATGCCTTTGAGCTGTGATGCTGGAGAAGAGTACTGAGAGTACCATGGACTGCTACGAAAACACACAGATTCATCCTGGAAAGGGTTAAACCGGGCGGCTCCTTGGAGGCAAGGATTCTGATTCTCTGTCTAACATACTTTGGACATGTTGTAAGGAGGGACCGGTCCTTGGAGAGGGACATCATGCTTGGGAGGGTGGAGGGACAGCGCAGGAGGGGAAGGCCCTTTATGAGGTGGATTGATTCAGTGACTGCGATAAGGGGGGTAGGTGTCGGAGACAGTGAAATTGGCACAGGACAGAGGAGAGTTTAAGGCTGTTGTACATAGGGTTGCTATGAGCTGCAAGCAACTCGACGGCACATAACAACAGAGTCTCCTTGCTCTGTTCTGACGACTGCCTCTTGGTCCAAGTATAGGTTTCGCATGAGCACAATCAAATGTTCTGGGATTCCCATTCTTCTCAACGTCAGCCACAGCTTGTTGTTATCCGCACAGTCAAAAGCCCTTGACGTCAATGAAGCATAGATAGACATGCCTCTGATATTCTCTGCTTTCTGCCAAGATCCATCTAACATTATCTATAATATCCCTAGTACCACGACCTTTTCCAAATCTGAAAAACCACTGGAGGGTCAGCTCTGGGTGATGGTATACAATAACCACAAAAGCTAAACCAGACAAAAGACACTTCAATTAGAGCCACAGGCTAAATTTGAGCTTTCAATCTACTGAACAGTGAAAAATATATATTTTTCCTTTAAATTCACTGACTTATAGTACTTTTGTTATAGCAGCAACCAGGAAACTAAGACAACATCCAATTGCCTTAAAACAGCTTAAAGTGGGGCTGTTCTGAAGGAAGAAAGAGGATGGAGGTGGAAGGGGTTGATGCTTAGGTGCCAATGCATGTTGGAATCCATCATTCCTTTTGGATGATGTCCTGGTCTATCATTCTAGTTTTACAGAAAAGAGAAATGCAGCTTAAAAAGCCAAAGTTTGGGGGAGCTCTGGTGGCCTAGTGGCAAGCAGCTGTACTGCAATCCCAGAGGTACATGGTTCAAATCCACCAAATGCTTTGCCGGAGAAGGACGGACAATTTCCTCCTGTACCAGTCAGATCTGATTTGACGCTACATGCACAAAAAATAATTTAAAAAAAAAGCCAAAGTTTTAGCAGCCCAGCTGGTCTCCATTTGAGTTGTGATTTTCAGTGCACTCATCTTGCAACTATAATTATCTCAATAGAACACTAGAAGCCCTCAGATTACAGATTATGAATGAGTTCCATTCCTAAATCTGCCCTTACATTGAACTTGGATGTAAATAAGGTATGGCTCCTATCTAAGGTCGCTTAGTCAACTGTAACTTTACAGGGTGTAGGGTACATTTCGATGCATAAAAACCATTAAAGACACAGTTTCTATTAAACTCAAACTTCTTTAACATAATAATGTAGTAATTATAATAACATTTTGATGTGCATCACAAAATAGTACTTGTTTGTTATTACAAACCACTAGGAATCTCAAAATTTTTTGGGGGTGGTTATAGGTAAAAAAGTTGAGTTTCCTTGGGAGGGGGCTGGAAATAAGTGTCTGGGCTGAGAGTGTCTGGAAAGGGTTTTTGGAGATCCTGAGTACGGTAAGAACATGGTCTTGCTCAAGGCTAGCACTAGCCTTCTGTGACAATACCACTAACAAAGCTTTCCCTGAAGCAAGTGGACAGAGGCTGTGATGCATTTTTTGCAGTGCTTCTCAAAGCAACTATAGTGGAAGTACTATTGGCGAATGACAATGGTCCTCTGCATCTTCATCTGGACCACCATGTTAGACAGACAGCATGCTCAGATGGAGATATTACCAAGGAAAGGGAAGCTCTTGTCAATATAAGTGCCCTAAATGGCCTTCTTGGGTGCCTAGAAGCATTAGACTAATGCTCCTGTAATAACTCGGGAACTTCTTCTGGCCAGTGTCTCCCAACAGACAGCTTTTCTTCTATTGGAAGCTGATTAGCTTCTCAATTTGAATTTATGTGATCTTTACAGGTGCTTGGAAGAAACCTCAAATTTTTTAACATAATAGGCTTTACAGAGATGGTACTATGGATTATATGTACATCATAAATTGGACATTTATAACTCAGAGAACTGCCTGTAATCCCATTTTCAACCTCAGCCCATTAAAGCCATTCTTCTCAAATCCTTCTGGTTATGTATTAACCTCTGAAATAGGACTTCGCTCATAACACAAAGCACTCAATTCAAAGCAAGACCTCAGGTGTATCTTGTATCTCCACCAACCCTTAATAATCCCTGTGTTTGAAGATTCAAGTTTAGCAAT